ATAATAGAGAACTATTATATGATATGAAAACATTTTAATTACCAAAAAACCGCACTATTCCACTTAGTAGCAAAAAACACACATAATCAACCTTTTAAGTGAACCACTGCCACTCTGCCAGGGCGCGTGGTAGCCTGATTGATACTTATGAAACAGACACAGTACAGGCGTGAGTTTCAATTCTACTATGATAGATCGAAAACCCGTTTAAGGCGCGCGTACTGTCAGAAAACCAAAACCTTATTGTTGATTCCAGTAGGTCATAGATTGTGGCCTGATAAAGACACAAGATCGAATCTTGACAATCGCAATATAAGGACAACACCCAATGTGGTGGTCCGGGTTTCTTGTGGGCACAGACACTAATTTAGGGCTTCAGGTCACAGTAACTTATCTCTCCGCTATCTTATCAGACGAGAGTTATTTGAGGTCCTGGGAGCAAGAAAATTTCATTTTCTGGGCAAGAAAACCAAAACCTTAATATATATAATCAACACTCTATCCACTGCTGAATCTAGGACTTAAATTGTGTGTAGATTGGGAGATTGGTGGCCGAGCTTCGAGGTATGTTTGACGAGGATTGAGTTCACTGTATAACCACGTCTTCACGGCCCGACCCACCCAGGTCCGGTCTGCATCAAACATAAAGTAAGAGGATAAAGTTGGCCGCAAGGCAGACACTAAAGATACAACCTAGAAAGATAGTCATATATATTGGTTTTTGTTTCAGTTTTATGTTTAGGGTTTAATTTTTTGTTCAAAATGTGCAGCTAAGGGAGACGACCCAGTCAAAAAGAGGTGCCAACATAAAAGTGAGCAAGAATGTTTTTTTCTTTTAATTTCTTTTCTTATTTTTTGATGAATAAAATTTTGTATGTGCATGGCATCATGATACTGTTTCCAATGATTGTTTTGTCATTGTTCTGTGCCCCCACCACCCCACTGGTAGGGTGGATGGGTGGGGTGGGGGGGGGGGTTCGCGCAATACGCAGGCGGCATTGACATGTGCAGGCCATGGGAGCATAGAGCTAAGCGACATGAATCATAATCTTCTTGAAACTAAAATATAGTATATAGGGCGTCATATCCAATGTAATTATCCTACAATATCATATATTCTTAGTTATTGGTACCAGATATTTTTTTATTTTAATGTGGGATGCGTGAATAAAGGAGTAAAAGTAATTTTGGGCCTAAAATGGATTAATGTGCCCAGTAGGCAGGTAGAGGGAAAATTATTATCCTTCTTGAGTGGAGTCTATTACGAGTATTTTAGACTGATTTATATTTTTGTAATTATTAAGGACTAAGATCATACTTGGGACGTGTAGTGTTATTCATTTACTTCATTAAGTATATCATTTTATGTAGTTTAATTTAATTAATTTATAGTGTGATTATAGGCTTATTTGATAAATGGTAGATCATTCATTTTGACATTTTGACTTTGGTCAAAACGTTACAGAAGTTGTTTTGGAATTCAACATTTTGGCCTAAAAAATTTGGGCATTTTCCATGCATTTGGAGAAGGCCAGTTTTTCTAATGTGGGTAAAATGGGGCTACCCGAACCCATTATCAACCGAATAGAGTGGACCATTCTCATTAGTATTGATGGGTCCAAACCAGCAAATTATACAGTGGACAGCGGTCCACAATGCATTGTGCCCTAGACATCAAATATACATTGCAGTTTCATTTCAACACAATTATAGTATCATTTTGATATAACTACAGTTTCGCTGGATAATATACACTCAAATATATGAAATTGTTATTCAGTTTCATTTTGTATACACTGCAGTTTCATTTCAACACAATTACAGTTTCATTTCAATTCAATTGCAATTTCATTTGATAATATAATAAAAATAATATGTGAGACAGTGTCAATTTAAATAGACTATAGTGTCTGTCGTTTTGGATCATGATTCACAAAGTTTTGTGGACCGCGGTCCACATTATAATTGCTGGTCCAAACCCTATCTCAGGTCATATCGGAGCCCAATCTTAGTGTAAGCAAACAACATTCAAATAACCCAATTTTAAGCCCACTATATGTTTTAAGTAAAAGTCCACTTAAGCCCAATCTTGAATCAATTAAAACCCAAATATAATCATCGGCCCATTAAAACATCTTTCGTGTTTCATAAATTTTTGAAAAAAATGTCAAATTGGCCCCCTAAGTCGGATAGTGCAATTGAGTCCCTCAACTAAAAAAAGCTCTAATCTGATTCTCTAAACCTGTAAAATTGTTCAATTAAGTCCAAAACGACTTATTTTACAGGTTAAGTCTCTCATGGTTGACACGTGTCTTTTTAAATTATTTTTTAGTTTTTGTTTTTTTTTTTAAAATTTTATTTATTTATTTATTAAAATATATATTATATACGGAGTATAAAAAAATGAAAAATAAAAATAAAAAACACAGACACAGGTAATGCATATCGACAAACAAACGAGAGAGGAGTCCGCCGATCTGTTACTGCTGGTGACTCGCCATTGCTGCTCAGCTGCCGGGGAGGGAGGTCGCCGATCGGAGCTGCTGCTGCTGGTCGGAGAAGCAGTTGCCATCTACGCTAGAGGAAGCTCGCCGGGGATTCGATCCATCCTTCTCCCGAAGAGAGGAGTCCGCCGATCTGTTGCTGTTGGTGACTCGTCGTTGCTGATCAACTGCCAGGGAGGGAGGTCGCCGGTATGAGCTGCTGCTGCTGGTCGGAGAACCCGTCGTCATCTACGCCGGAGGAAGCTCGCCGATGATTTGATCCATCTATCGTCGTTGTCCTCCAGAGTTGACCATTAACGCCGGCGAGAGAAGAAGTCGCCGGATCTTCTGTTCTAGTTCGTTCCAACCACCCCATCCACCATAGATTCTTCGCTGCTCAATGGAGAAGAACGTCGGTGGCTATGTTTTCAACTTTTTATTTTTTATTTTTTCATATATAATATATTTTTAATAAATAAATAAATATAATTTATAAAAAACAAAAATAACAAATATTTTAAAAAGACATGTGGCGACCATGCATGTGAAGATTTAACATGTTAAACAAGTCACTTTGCACTTAATTGAACAATTTTACAGGTTTAGGGGATCTAAATGGAGCTTTTTTTTTTAGTTAAGGGATCCAATTACACTATCTAGTCAACTTAGGGGGCCTATTTGACACTTTTTTCCTAAATTGTTAGAATATTACTTTACAAAATATTATGGAATATTAATCAATTAATAACATCGGGGGCCTATTTGACACTTTTTCCTAAATTGTTAGAATATTACTTTACAAAATATTATGGAATATTAATCAATTAATAACATCAAATAATCCTCTATAGTGTCATGCAATATATGCACAAAATCTCATGTTCAATATTAAATGTAGGGATAACAACTCAACCGGTATTTTTAATGCCCGTGATGGAGAAAATTGATTTCTCCATATATAAAAATAGTAATATAAAGTATTTTTAGGAAATTAATAAATAATCACGACACAAAGATTATATTTAATGTGAAAAATATTACGATAAAAATCGCAAGCATCGAGATCCACGTATAGTAATACATTTATAAGAGTTGACGTGGCCATGGAATGAAAGGGGGGAAAGATATATTATACGTAAAAGAAAATTATTCTCAGCATTCAGTGATATTTTTGTTCCTTTTGTCTTATCCATTAACCTTTATATAAGGTCCAGGTCCCTCTTTACAGTTACAACTTCTACTAACAATCTAACATTAAGATCAAGTAACTTCTCTACAATGTAATAGAGTCAGTAGCACTAAAACCAAAAAAAAAAAACAAAAAAAAAAAAAAAACAAACAAACAAAAAACCTCTCTACTCTCTTGTTAACTCCTTCATCTTTGGCTATATCATTCTTCATAAATAATGATAATATGGAATATTTTTCCATCACCCCGGCCTTTGTCAAACATTGACATAATTAAGGAAATGTCATATACATGCTAACAATAAAACAAATTAAATGAAATTAACATTAACATATGATATATAGACCTACTTAAACAATTGACACAAAATCGGTACATAAATATTTACCGAATAATAATAATAATAATAATAATAATAATAATAATAATGTCAACTTCATATTTTGACATTTTTTATTTTGACATTTTTTATTTTGCTTTTGCAATATTAGTTAGTGGTGTTATAATGACATAAAGTTAGGGATTGAAAGTGACGGTAAATAAGATTACAAGTATATTAGAAAAGAAATAGTCTTCTACTTATACTAGTACTTCCAATGTTGTTCTTCTAGAGTTCCATAGTAATGAGGATCTGAGTCAACATTATTCATCATAATGTCTTGTCTTGAATAAGCCGGTGTTCGGGTAAATGATTCCGTTACGTGAGGGTTGGCCTTTTCTTGGGGTGATTTCAGGTCGAGTACCTGTCCCATTATTCTATCACAACGGTAAAATTGAAAATATTTTTAAAACAATGTAAAACTTTCTTAGGAAAAAAACTAACTAAAATCAAGATTATAACCCACAGTAACACACTCACAAATAAAGTTTTATATACTGGATTTAGAATATTGCCATTATGATGATTGTTAATTGTTAATTGTCAATAATACAGTAGTGAATAATAAAAAGGAAGTTTAGGATATACTGATATGTAATAATAAATAAATATATATTCTTCCAAAAATTTTGGGCTGGAAAAATCGCGCCGTTAAATCTTGATCACACAGATCAAGCTGAGTCATCCAAATTAATGCATTATTATCCTACCCTAAAAACCTACTGTTATACGTCGATCAATATTCACTTCATACATTTATTGAAACGCATTCAGATAAAGATAATTATATCCATCTCATGTAACGATGACTCAGTTTCCCAGCAGGAATTTTATTTGAGGACTCCAAAGTTTGAAACTTTATTGGAAAAGGACAACTCCAGTTGCATATAAAACCCTACCTTTACAAACCCTTTATCCTATTAGCAAATTTAACGAGTTTCGTGTTGCTTGTCTTTGTGCTTTTGTGCTGCCAAGATGACGATCCTCGTTGAGCAAACCCTACCTGCAGGTATCTTTCCCCACCTTTTCACAGAATTCTTTTTTAGTTTAACTTCCATTTGTTTTTTTTTTTTTTTTTTGGTTGATGATTTGAATACCAACTTTAATGCCAATGGGATGAAACTCGAATCTGGAACCTTTCATATTAGTAGTATCTGTTCGACATAATGTCAATCTGGATTGGAATGGGGTTTGGGAATTGGAGTTTAAACCTTCATTATTATGGTAGATAACAGTGATGCGGGCAAACCCTAATTCCGTTTTTTTTTTTTTTTTTTTTTTTTTTTGTTTTTTTTTGCTTTTCAGACTTGGGAATTCAGGAGAAAGGAATAGTGTCCGATGGTAACGACAGTTTACTATGCCATACATATAATAGTTTATGCTGCGATTTTATTTTAACTGTTTTGTGTGGATTTGCAGTGCCAAAGAAGGTGGAAGACGGTGGCTTCATTGTGCCTGAAAGCAATGCTTTTGGAAACACGTTCAGGTCAGTTATCTTTGGATTGAGATTTCTGAATTCCAAGATGAAATTACCAATATAATGTATGGAATCGAATTGAAGGTTGTTTTATGTTAACATTTTCACTGGGTTATTTGCAGGGATTATAGTGCAGACACTGAAAGAAAGGAGATCGTTAAGGAGCTCTATCGGCAGAGCCACATTAACCAAACCTATGATTTTGTAAGATGTTTTTAGTAACATATGCAATCTGGGTAAGAACGCAATTTCAAAGAAATTTTTTTAATGATATATGTTGAAAATATAATGTAGGTGAAAGAAATGAGGGAGAAGTATAGGAAGCTGGATCGAGTGGAGATGAGCATATGGGAATGCTGTGAGCTTCTGAACGAGGTTGTGGATGACAGCGATCCCGATCTCGATGAACCCCAGATTGAGCATTTGTTGCAGACTGCTGAAGCCATCAGGAAAGACTATCCTCAAGAGGATTGGCTGCACTTGACTGCCCTTATCCATGGTTTGTAATTTAAACCAATGTATAGGCTAAATATATGCATTCTGGATTTCTAGTCTTTTAAAAATGCCATTTTTATGTGTTAGATCTTGGGAAAGTTCTGCTGCTACCAAGCTTTGGAGGGCTTCCTCAGTGGGCTGTTGTTGGTGAGCTATCTCATCTCATCTGTCAATTCAACAATGCAACACAAAAGTTGAAGTTTTTATGATTTTCTAATTTAATCTTCTAATAACATTTTTATTAAATTAGGTGACACATTTCCTCTTGGTTGTGCATTTGATGAGTCCAATGTTCATCCAGAGGTTTGTTAATTGTTGTTTTACCAACATTTATTGTATATGGATTGTTTGATTACAGTCATGAAACTAATGTCTGTAAACAATTTGACTCTGCAGTTTTTCAAGGAGAACCCTGATTACAATAACCCTGCTTACAACACCAAGTATGGGGTTTATTCTGAGGGGTGTGGGCTGGAGAATGTGCTCATGTCTTGGGGACATGATGACTACATGTACTTGGTAAAATTTATTACTTTTTCCCTTTTTCTGAAGGGAACAGTTTTTTTTTTTTTGAGTGCCGAGTGAAACCCAGAGTCAGTAGTGAATTGTGTAAACTCTATGCGTTTTAATAGTTTTTTATATAATGGATTGGCTTTTTACTTGTAGGTGGCTAAGGAAAACAAGAGTACTCTACCAAATGCTGGGCTGTTTATCATCCGATATCATTCCTTTTATCGTAAGTATACTTTCAATTCTCCCCATTTCTGTGATGTATATGTGTATTTGTAAGTAATGTTGTTTTTTGGGGTATGAAGCTCTGCACAAGTCTGGAGCATACACCTACTTGATGAATGATGAGGACCGCGAGAATCTCAAATGGGTCAAGATTTTCAAGTAAATGCTTTCTGCATTTTCTTTTTCTGGATGTGTTTTTTGCCTGCCTTTAATTGTTAACTTAAATGGATTGTTGTTTTGTGTGTGTAGCAATTATGATCTTTACAGCAAGAGCAAAGTGAGGATTGATGTGGAGAAGGTGAAGCCATACTATGAGTCTCTCATTAAGAAGGTGAATTTTATTATTGGAAACTACATTTTTACTGTACTTCCACAACTGCCACTTCACTCTTGACTTCTTTTTACTGAATTGCAAAATTTGTGATTATATTGCAGTACTTCCCAGAGAAGCTCAAGTGGTGAAATTCTAGGGAGTTTGGAAGTTATTGGTGGTTCTGTTTCAACTGTCTTATTATCTGCTTGAAAACTCGTTGGTTGGATGGCTTTTTATTTTTCTTTCTTCTTTTGTGAAATGTGTTCTGTTATAGTAATTTGGTGTATTGAAAGGGAGTTGGAAATTGTAAGTTTGGGCTGAAATGGATTATTATTGTGCTAAGTTAAATGAAATTAAAATATTTGCAGTTCCTGAAGTTGGAAGTTTTATTTTCTTTTTTAAATAATAAAGGAATCGGAAGGGGAATAACTTGAAACTATTAAAAAAAAAAAAGAACTATGACACATACAAAATTTGTTAAAGAGGGAACATATTGAAGGAAAAGGGGTACCAACTATCCTTCTGTCTGTAGTTCTTCTCTAAACAAATATAATACTAACATATGTTAGCATATTCTTGTAACGTTGCGTTATGTTGTAGGATGACACTTTGTTTTGGGACAGTCCTTCGAGTTGTGTCCATTATAGAGTTTTTTTATTTAATCTACTTATTATTTTACCTTTTGAAAAAAGATAGAATTTACTGATGATATGAAAATTTTTCAAGAAAGTGAATTCAAAAAAAATAAATAAATAAAAAATATGTTGATGCATTCCAAAAATATTGGAAAAAATAACTTAAAATCTTGATCCACCTCACATCATTAATGGACATGCATTGAGATAAACATTATTATTGCATATAAAACCCAACCATTTCAATCTTTTTCTGCACTACATCAACAATCATTGTTCCAAAAGGTTGAATAACCAAGGGCCCCACAAGACCACCCTACCAAATGCTGGGCTGGTTATTATTAGATATCGTAAGTATTTAATTTTCTCCCGGCCGGTCCCATTCGATCTGTAACATGCATGGTGTTTTGTATTTGTGAGTAGTAATATATATAATGGTGTTTTGTTATATGAAGCTCTGCACAAGTGTGGAGCATACACCCACTTGATGAATGATGAGGACCGTGAGAATCTCAAATGGGTCAACATTTTCAAGTAATTAATTAAATGCTTTCGATTTGCATTATTATATTTTCTTTTTCTTTTTGCCTAGCTGCCTTTAATTAAATGGATTGTTGTTTTGTGTGTGTAGCGAGTATGATCTGTACAGCAAGAGCAAAGAGAGGATTGATGTGGAGAAGGTGAAGCCATACTATGAGTCTCTCATTAAGAAGGTGAATTTTGGAATTGAAACGACATTTTTACTATACTTTCACAATTAATTGCCACTTCACTCTTGAATTGTTTTTACTGAATTGTAAAATTTGTGATTATATTGCAGTACTTCCCAGAGAAGCTCAAGTGGTGAAATTTTGGAGAGTTTGGAAGTTACTGGTAGTTCTGCTTCTTCAACTGGCTTATCTGCTTGAAAACTCGTTGGTTGAACGGCTTTTTCTTGAAAAATAAAAATAAAAATGTATTCTGTTAATTGTAATTTGGTATATTGAAAAGAAGTTGGAAATGTAATTTTGGGCTGAAATGGATTATTGTGCACGTGCTAAGTGGAATGAAATTAAAATATTTGCAATTCCTTAAAGTTCGAGGATTTTTTTTTTTCTTTTTTAAAGAATAAAGGGATCATGATAGAAAACTCGAAACTATTAAAAAAAATAAAATTATGACACATACAAAATTTGTTAGAGAGAGGAATATCACGTTGATCCTCTAAAAGAACATGTTGAAGGCTGCAAATGGTATATATATATATATATATATATATACTAGTCTTTTCTATGCGCAATGCACAAAACTAAGTGCCCAACATTAATATTCAATGTTAAAATTATGGTTATAATTTTTTTTTAAAATAAAATTTTATAATTTTTTATAAAAAATTCATAAAATTTATAGTTGTAGAGAATTCATATTATATATTAAAAAGTATATTAATAATTATGATATGATTAATAATTTACTTATTACATATTCTAATATAATATCTACATATATATATTATTACAATTAAAACAATTAAAGAATGTCCTTTTCAAAAAAAAATTAAAGAATGTAAGAAAATATATGGTGAATGCAAGTACATGGTAACAACAATGGAAATAGATAACAGAAGTTATAACAGTAGGGGCATTGTTATCCAAAAAATTATATAGTACAACATTTATAGCTTAATGTATCAAAAAAGATAACAGAAAAACAGACATAAATGAAGGGTATCAACCTTCATTCACACTTATTAGATTCTTAGATTAGATTAGATATATAAACAATAATGTCAATACATAATTTTTAAATCACAATTAAAATTTGTGAAGATAGAGAAAAAATATTATATAAAAAGTAAGTATTTGTTTTTAATGGCTCAATAACCCTAATTTTATATATATTTTGATATGGTTTATTTTAGAATTTTCAAAAAATATATACACATGGGTAATAAGTAACAAAATAGTAATAATGTCAATCGACCCATTGAATATAATATAACTCCACCAATGCGCACATATAAAAATTTCGCCATCACATGAAACTGCTCGGGGTCTAGTCGGGAAGCCGACACCTTAATCTTAGATTGCAAAGATCTGATGACGGTGTTCCAGGAGTGTCGCCTTAACCACGTCTTACGGGAAGGGAATCAGTGTGCAGATTTTCTGGCCAACCTGGGTCAGAATAATACTTGGGGAACTACACTTTGGGACAACCCGCCTAATGGTTTAGATAATCTCTTGGTGCGGGATAGTCATTCCGTGGCCACTAGAAGGATCACTTAATTCTCTGGAGCGCTAAGTTCCTCTTTACTCACCAAAAAAAAAAATAAGATTTACTGGTATGGAAATTTTCAAAGAAAATGAATGCAAAAATAATAATAATAATAATAAGAGAGATATTTGATGCATTCCAAAAATATTGGAAAAATCTTAAAATCTTGATCCTAATACTGCCAACAGCTCAAAGCTGAGTCATCCAAATTAATGTATTATCCCATCCATAATTAACCTACTGTTATGATTACTCAATATTCACTTCACGTACGTCATTAATGGACATGCATTCGGATAAACATAATTATTGTATATAAATTAAACCCAATCATCATATAGTATTAGCAAAGGGTGTTCGTGCTGCCAAGATGACTATCCTCGTTCAGCAACCTCAGCCTGGTATCTATTTCAAAGTTCATTTTCCCAGATTATTTTTAGAAAAATAAATTCTTTTGGGCAAATGGATGTGAATACCAACTTTAATTTCCATTGTTTTTTGCTTTTGTTTTTCAGAGCTGGGAATTCAGGAGAAAGGTATAGTGTCTGATGGTAACCAGCCATTCTTATTTTAATTGTTGTGTATGTTGTTTTATAGGTACATGTTTAGGGTTTATCATGCTTATAACCAGGACGTGTTATTATCATCACAAAAATATTGTCTTCTTTACTTTATGCATGCCATTGTTATCGTTAATCTCAACATCAACCATGCATGCATATATTAGTTTATATATATATGGTGCAATAATTATTTTGAAACTAACTGATTTTGGGTGGATTTGCAGTGGCAAAGAAGGTGGAAGATGGTGGCTTCATTGTGCCTGAAAGCAATGCTTTTGGCAACACTTTCAGGCCAGTTATCCTTTGATTAAGATTTCAGTATTCCAACAAGAAATTTAAAATGCATGTATATATGGAATTTAAGGTTATTTTATGTTCACATTTTGATTAGGGTAACTTTATTTATTTGCAGGGATTATAGTGCAGACACTGAAAGAAAGGAGATCGTTAAGGAGCTCTATCGGCAGAGCCACATTAACCAAACCTATGATTATGTAAGATGTTTTTAGTAACATATGCAGTCTGGATAAGAAAGTTGAAAGAAAATGAGTTTTAATGATTATATATATGATGAAAATTAATTAAATGTAGGTGAAAGAAATGAGGGAGAAGTATAGGAAGCTGGATCGGGTGGAGATGAGCATATGGGAATGTTGTGAGCTTCTGAACTCGGTTGTGGATGACAGTGATCCCGATCTTGATGAGCCCCAGATCGAGCATTTGTTGCAGACTGCTGAAGCCATCAGGAAAGACTATCCTCAAGAGGATTGGCTGCACTTGACTGCCCTTATCCATGGTTTGTAATTTAAACCAATGTATAGCTAGGCTAAATATATGCATTCTGGATTTCGATCTAGTCTTTTAAAATTGCCATTTTTATGTGTTAGATCTTGGGAAAGTTCTGCTGCTGCCAAGCTTTGGAGGGCTTCCTCAGTGGGCTGTTGTTGGTGAGCTATCTGTCAACAATATAATGCAACAAAAAAGTTGAAGTTTTTATAATTTTCTAATCTTTTCAAACATTTTTAGGTGACACATTTCCTCTTGGTTGTGCATTTGATGAGTCCAATGTTCATCCGGAGGTTTGTTAATTGTTGTTAAACCAACTTTTATAGTATATGGATGGCTTGATTACAGTCATGAAACTAAAGTCTGTAAACAATTTGACACTGCAGTTTTTCAAGGAGAACCTTGATTACAACAACCCTGCTTACAACACCAAGTATGGGGTTTATTCTGGGGGGTGTGGGCTGGAGAATGTGCTCATGTCTTGGGGACATGATGACTACATGTACTTGGTAAAAATTAATACTTTTTCCCTTTTTCTATTTGAGTGACGAGTGAAACTCACAGTCACTATTCAACGTTGTGAATTGTGCACTGCGCACTAGGTAAACTCTATCTTTTAACCCTTGCTAGCAAAGGACCATTTAGAGGTAAACCAACTGGCTTAAATGATGAAGGCAAGTTGTTATCCAACCTTGTGTACTAGGTAAACTCCGTCCTTTGACTCTAGTCGGTAAAGGATTAATGAGTGGTAAATCAACTTAGTCGGCCATAATTGACCTGATCAAATCAAGAGGGCAAGCTAGTATGTACAACAGTGTGCACTGGGTAGACCTAGTCCTTTGCCCTGTTTAGATTAGGAATTGAATTGAACTAGTAACAAGTCAACAATTTGACTAACTTGGTTGGGATTGTACGTCCCGATATGTTTTAAGTTTTTATATAATGGATTTGGTTTTTTACTTGTAGGTGGCTAAGGAAAACAAGAGTACTCTACCAAATGCTGGGCTGTTTATCGTCCGATATCATTCCTTTTATCGTAAGTACTTTCAATTCTCCCCATTTCTGTATGTGATGTATGTATTTGTAAATAATGTTGTTTTTGTGGTATGAAGCTCTGCACAAGTCTGGAGCATACACACACTTGATGAATGATGAGGACCGCGAGAATCTCAAATGGCTCAAGATTTTCAAGTAAATTTGATCTCTCTGCATGTTCTTCGTTTTTCTTGATACATGGTTTTCTTTCTCCTTTAATTTGATTGTTAACCTAATTCTGGTTTCTATGTGTAGCAAGTATGATCTCTACAGCAAGAGCAAAGTGAGGATCGATGTCGAGAAAGTGAAGCCATACTATGAATCTCTCATTAAGAAGGTGAGTTAGTATCACAAGCAGATTTTTCACGTACTGTCTTGTCACTTTTGGTTTACTGAATTGCAAAGTGTTTGATTGGCAGTACTTCCCAGAGAAGCTCAAGTGGTGAAATTCTTGAGAGATTGGAAGTTATCAGCTCTGCTTCAACTGGCTTTTCCACTTTATGTGTTTCATTTTGGTGTGTTTTGTTATGGTAATTTGGTGTATTGAAAGGGAGTTTAATACTTCCAGAATAATAATAAGAGAAAATTGCACCTCTAGTCCCTAAGTTTTAACCAAGTTCCGATTTGGTCCCTAAGATATGAACGTATCCGAGTTTAGTCCCTCAGTTATTTGCGAAGTGGCGTGTTTAGTCCCCGGTGTTAAAATTCTGTCAACACTTAACTGAAAACTTACAAGTAAATTAATAATTGAAGGGTAAAATTGAAATTTCAAATTATAATCATTTCTTATATCCAAACCCTCATACAACCTCATTCATTTCTTCTTTCTTCTACAATCTAAGGTGTTCTTCTTCCCTAAATTTTGAAATCTGAAATTCTTTTTCCCCAAGTTATGTTTGATTTAAATTAAATTTTCTTTCGAGTTGAATTAAAATATACTCTCAATTGAAAGTAGAAATGAATAAAGATAAAGCAGTACATATAATACATATGTATACTGCGAAATGAAGTAGGACAATTCCAATTTATACCAAAAATATTTATATTAATAGATGTTTAGCACAAGTTATAGCTACAATGATCAATCTTTTACATGTTCAACTTACCTTTCCAACAAAACATGGTCAGCACATGTTATACCTACACTAGACTATATTTGACACGTTATACTGACATTTCAAACAAAAGCAATGACAACACCCTAGTTTGATATACAAAAGACCACAAAAAGAAGTTCATCACTGTCAACCATTCAGTTTGATACACAAAACACCACAAAACGAGGATCATCACAGATTCCTGACAAATTCATCCTACTTCTTTCTCAGTTTTTGCTTGGGGTGGAGTTGTTTCCTACTTTTCTTTGTAGTTGATGTACTTGCTTTTTCTGTGCTCCGAGTATCAAGTGGGGCAGCTTGAGATGTCCTTATAGCCTATTTAATCAAGTAGACATATTAGATGACATATTTAATGTATTTAATGTACTATTCATATCTCAACTAACCATTTCTACCGGTTGTTGCACACCGGAATCCACATTCATATTTTTTTGTACATTCAAGGGATGCACACTGGAGTCCATATCTACAGGCTGTTTTCACAGTTGATGAATTAGTACGAGTGTACGACTTAAACAATTTGAAACTTATTATGTATTAAAAATGTACCTGTTCTTGTTGCTGCTGCTGGTTAAACCCTTCAACAGTAGATATAGTTGTATTCTATAACAAATATACATAATAATTGTTAGAAAAAAAATATTAGCAGTATATTGAAAAAAACAAAGTGAATTCTTATATTACCTCTTTGGATGCCTTGCATCTTCTCTTGTTGTGTCCATGTTGGCCACAAAGTCCACACTTTTTCTTTTCTCCTATCCTTCCAAGTTTAGTCGGCACATGTTCCTTCTCAATAGGATCTTTCCTTCATAACTTTTTAGGTCTTCCAGGCTGGGGCTTATATTTGGGAGGCAAGGGTGGTGGTGCTCCTGTTTTTATCCATTGATCTGAAGATGAGATGGGCAGAATAGCTGGTTCATAACTCTTCAAATAAGCCTCCACTGAATAAAACCAATTTGTATACTCTATAGGATCTTGACCATTTTCTGAAATTGCAGAAATTGCATGTACACAAGGAATGCCTGTCAAGTCCCATCTTCTACATGAACAAGAACAAGTGGTTAAGTGCACCCAAAACAACTTCAAATCATCATCCTCAACCTGCCACCATTCGTCATTTGACTTATAAGAAATGTAGCCACCTATTTTCTCCTTGTTTTGTTCAATGCTTTTTACAATCTTTGGACAAATCTTCATAGGATTGTTCCTCATCTTATCCCTATTACGTTGCATTCTTTTCATAAGATATATTCTTAAACACTCCACCATGGTTATAATGTGTTTGTCTCTAGCATTCAAGATTGAAGAATTGAAGGACTCACACAAATTGTTCAACAACATGTCGGACTTAGTAGATGTGTCAAAGAAAGCTCGACAGAAATGGTGTGGAGACCTTTCACTAACCCACTCAGCTGCCTTTGGATTTAACACTTGCATTGCCTCAATGTGCTGCTTAAATTCTGGTTCTGTAGTGGCTTTGCAAGCTGCCCAGAATACTCTCTTAAATACCTGACCCCCAAATCCATCTTTGGTGAAATTCTGGTGAAGATGTCTTACACAATTCCTATGTGCAACATTAGGTAATACCTCTTCAACAGCTTTAACCAATCCTTTTTGCTTGTCAGATATGAATGTCCAGCCATAAGGGTTACTATGAATTTCCAAATCAGATGCAAGGAATTGAAGAAACCATGTCCATGTCTCTTTTGTTTCACCTTCTACAACTGCAAATGCTATTGGAAACATGCAATTGTTAGCATCTACTCCTACTGCAGCTAGAAGTTGTCCTCCTTTTTGGAACCCCTTCAAATGACAACCATCAATTCCTATCAATTGCCTACATCCAGCCAAAAACCCTTGTTTACATGCTGTAAAACAGACATATAATCTGAGGAATCTGCACCTACTACCTTCCCTATCAGTTGTGTCTAACTTCGTCTTAACAGTTGAACCCGGATTGCTTCTTCTAAGCTCTTCACAATAATCCCATAACATGTTAAACTGTTCTGCTTGCGTTCTAATTAATGATTCCTTGGCATTTCTCCTTGCTCTATAAGATTGATACTTAGACACATTACATCTAAATGTCCTTTTCACTTTCCTTTGGAATTCCTTCCTACCCCAATTTTCATTATCTTTAAATTCCTCCTTATAATACTTAGACAAAAACCTTGAAGTTATAGTTTTGTTCTTTTGTTGTGCTCCACAAGTATGTTTACCAAATGACTTTATGGTAAATGGACAACTTGGGTTACTCCTTGAAGCAAAAATGACCCAATTGCAATGGTTTACTCTACATTTTGCTTGCACTCTCCTCTTGTCATTCTTGGTGAACTTAACTGATTTTTTGTTCACTGCTTCATGCACTTCTACAACCCATTTAAATTGAGAATTGCTACTGAAAATCATGCCAACTTTGTAGTTAAAATCATGCTTTTTCTCATCTCCTTCCCTATAAACCAACAAATTATTTTCACCTTCAATATCTGAGCTTGAACCAATGCTTCTAAGCTCATCTTCTGATTCCACCCAATCTTTCTCCCCTTCTAGATCAATTTGATTTAATCCAACAGTAAGAATATTAGGTGTGGATGAATTGCCAACATCAAGATTTTGATTTAATCCAACAGTAAGAATATTAGGTGTGGATGAATTGCCAACATCAAGATTTTGCTCATCATCACTACCATCATCCATAGACTCTGAACACTCTTTCCCCACAGAAGCTGATATCTCAGTTTCACTCCCTTTCACTAGTTCATCTGCATTTTTAATCAATTCTAATAGTGATACATACAAATTAAAGCTGTAATTTATCCCTAGGTAGAAAATAACATCAAACATTTTGCATGTTCAGTAGAGTTATTTTAGGATTTGGGTACACATCCTTGTCACTTGAGATTCATACCAACTGCTAAGATTCTTTAACTCATAAATTTTGCTAGATAACATAGCCAACTAGACATCTTAACCATATATGAGACAAAGAGTGAAAGGATGCTACATTGACAGAATTTGGGAAAGATCTTGAAATCTATCTATTATGTTTGACAGATTAGGCTAACTTCTCCATCTTTAATGGCAATTATATTGTATAGAAGAGCTATGTGGATGGGTTCAAATAAGTATGCTAATTTAACTCAGACATAGACCCTAGCACATTCGCACAACAATAAAAAAAAAAAAAACAGTTTTAGCAGACATACATACATGGCTTTACAGACAAAAACCACTTTAGTAGTAAAATAATAGTCATTCCTCCTCACATGGACCACACATTCACATAAATACAAAAACTGAAACATGGACCCAGCATATTCGCACATCAAAAAACACAAAAGCTCAAAAGTTATTAAACTCTGATTTCACAAAAACACTTACAAGTGGGTGGTTGATTTGTGCCCAACAAAATTGTAGAAGTCATTGTAGTGTAGGATTTGTTCTCCTTCTAACCTGCGAAGTACGCTTTCGTCCCCTGCTTAAGCTTCGAATTCTTCTTTCTTACATTGCAATTAGGTTTCGAAATTTGGGGGAAGGGGAAGGGCGCTGACTATATGTTGTCAAATTGGAAAATACTCCGTATGTTTTATTTTGGGGGGAAATGGGGAATGGGTTCTAATAAATAAAGATGGGTAATAAGTTATTTAATTATTATTTTACTTTTTTACCCCTTAAATTAACACTGTCAACAAAACATTAACGGTAGGGATCAAAAACGCCACTTAACTCATAACTGAGGGACTAAAAATGGATACGGTCATAACTCAGGGACTGAGTCATCACTATGATAATAACTTAGGGACTAAATATGCCATTTTCCCTAAGAATAAATTAATAATGTATGGGTTTGAACCCCCCATCAGACAATCTGTTCTTCTTTTAAGTATTTTGAACTTCTTTATGAATCTGTGATTTGTTGTTTAATTTCTCTAGTTTGATATCTAAGCTGTTTGTCGCAGCGGACAACTCAATTGATACTCATATAGAATTGCAGTTACATTCAAGATTTTGTCTTTTTTTTTTTTTTAATAATTATATTCCTAATCCTTATTTCTTTTATCTCCCGGGCATCTTCAATAGTTTTATTCTTGCACAAAATTTTAAGAGCCATGTAGTAATACACGCGCTTACTAGGCGCTGCTGGTGCGCGTTAACCTAACCCGCACCAGTTGACTTCTTTTGTTCCTTTTAATAATACTGTGGGCCCATTGCAGGAGACAAAAAACTTGGGTCTCCTGCAAGGACCCCATCCTTTCGGCAAATTATTGTATGGACCATGGTCCACACAATGTTATGTGGACCATAACAAAAAGTACATTTTTAATATATTAAATGTACATTATTTTTGTACTGAATGTACATTATACAATATAATGTACACTCAGAACAAAAATAATGTATATCCCCTGTATACAATATACATTATTTTTATATTGAATGTACATTATTTTTGTACTGAATGTACATTATTTTATAGTAGACAAAATATGGTCCATACAACTTGTGTGGACCATGGTCCACACAATAATGATTGCATCCTTTCTCTCTCTCCCTCCTCACACTGCCACGTCACCTATTGTCTCAAAAATTTCACCAAAAATCATTAATAGAGATGACTTTATGCAACTTACATTTTATATTTGTGCTTTTGTGTTATTTATGCTTACGGATAATGAGTAGTTCACATAAAAGCTAAGGTTAGGGTGTGATAATCAATTCAGATCGAGTATTGCATAAAATAAAATACAATAAAAATTTTGTCCAACTTAGAATTTTTTGATATTATAAAGAAATTGTGTCTTTCTCTTTGTTAATATAATGTTTGGTGCACAATATTCATTGACATATTTTTGAGGAGTTATTGGTCACCTTGAGAGTCGGACCAATAACTCCAGTCACTAGTTGCATAATCAATTAATCATCAACATTTCCCACCATGAGAATAAGAGAAATAGGTGTTTGATGCTTCTTGTGTTTGATATTGACATCATGAGGGCAAGGTGATATCGTGTCCAAATTCTTAATTAGTTAATTAACATTAAACTTGGATTTTGTATTGCCTAATTTATATTTGATTGTTATTTGCCTTGCTTACTATTGTGCTTACCATTGAAACCATATTATGTTTTTCTTAGCTTTTTGTGCATTTCCTATGGCTAGTGACTAGTAGAATTGTTTTTATATGACAAGTGTCATAATCCCTAACCAAAAGTGCAAAGTTCGTGTTGTGATCCTAGCCAGTAAAGGAACACAAGGAAGTAAACCAGTCTAGTTGCACATAGCTGACTGGAGGTCGAACTTGAAATCTTGCGATTACCAAGTCAATTGTCAGACCAACTTGGCTAAGATTACCCCTCCAAAATCACTATTCGTATGATATGGATAAGGCAACAAACACAATTATATATGGCAGTCAAGTTCATTTCATGTCATTTATGGACAACTAAACAATTGAAACCAAAAGTCTACATATATGCATACATTAGACAAAGATGATTATCATGTCTCATGAATTATTGTTAAGGACTCCAAGTTTACAACTTTGTTGGGTAAGAACATTTTGAGTTACCTATAAAACCCAAACTTCACTAACTGCTTCTTCACAACTACAATGGTCCCCACAGTGGGCCACAACATTTTGGTATGTCCAAGCTGTTATCTTAGATTGCAAGGATAAGATTTTAGCTTCAAGTGGAGGGGATTTTGGAAGGGAAAAGTCCTGTGAGTCTCAGGAGGATTGGGATTTTCCATATTTACTCTCCCCTGATGACTTAGAAAGAAATAAAGAAAGACAGATTCATCATGCTGATATCTGCTATAAACTATGTTTCAGGAGCACTATATGTAAAGGGAGCAGACACCCGAGAAAGACGAAACATTACAGGAAGAGTGAAGGCGCAAGGCAGGAGAGAGCTTCTCTTTTCGACATTAGCAGCTGTCGAAATCAGTGACTCCAAAACCGAGCTTCTTAACAGTAAACTAAACTATCTGCTCTGTGTATATTCTCGTGTTTCACCGTTACTTCTTAGCTTTGGCCTTTGGGTTCGTGTTTTCTCACGTTTTAAAACATTGGAAACGCTTTTTGTCAGAGTTTTTAAAGAAATCTGAAGAGAACAAGGAGAAAAATGACAAGGAGGTCAGCATTTCTGGGTTCATTTACACTTTCAAGAAACTATTTTCTGTCTTTCTTTTTGGGACATTTTTCTGATTTTTGTTTTATGCAGAGGCTGGAGAGCTACTATAAGCGCAACTACAAAGACTATTTTGGTGTGTTAGAAGGGACTCTGAGGCAAAAGTTGGAAAACAAAGAGCAAATTTCTGAATCAGAGCAGAAGATTCTTGAATGGCTTGACAAAAACAAGTAAATTACTATGACTAGATGTAAGGGAATATGTCTGTTCAGATAAATCTTGTGTTTCGAAGCAAAGTTAAAGCATTTGAAATGCAGAGATAGAGCAATCAAGAACATTGGCACCCACGGTTTTTCCCTCATTCTGCTACTTCATTTCAATCTGTGTATTTGCTTTAATTTCGGGTTGGGTATTGATGAACTACAAGCTACACAGGAACACCAATTCTTGCACACATTTAACAGGAGCACAGGCATTTGGTACAGAAGATAACTAGATGATTACGGAGAGAAAATGATTCTGCAATTTGCATAAACAGTATAACACAAAGGCAATCCTAATCGTAAACCACATAATATCTTTTGGCAGCTAAGAGAATTCATAATCTGAATTGAGAAGCAATGTCAGTAAATGACCAACCAAACTTAGTGTCACTATGAATCCAAAATTGATTTCTTATTCTGTTAGCGAAAAAGATAACTGAGATTTGGGATCTCAAGAATAATTAGAATATACTACTATGTTAACAATACCTGCCAGATATAATGAAAGAATTTGCAGTTATACCACCCCCTTTTGCACAATTGCACCTTCCTTCCTATGGTCTCTGCCTCTCCCTGATTTCTCTACGTTATTTCCAGCTATAAACAGAAGATTCATCCCATAAGTGCTCACTGATTGAGCAAAAGTTTTGAACTTTTAGTTGGGTTTGGTCAGTTTATCCACAATCAGTGGGAAGCCATTCACTTCTTTCATGATTTCATCCACTTACGAGAGAAACTCATCTGCAGCGAGTATAAATAGTACTGCTAGGTTCGATCAGTAAACATAATACATTGGCATCTCCAATACTCAATTTTCTTCGAAACTTATTTAATATCCTCATCAGCAAGATCAATGATGCCATGTATATGGTCAGCAACAATCCGTGCTACAAGCTGAGGAGAGAACTTGCTCGTCATATCAACACGAGCTTGCTCTCCTTTGGTTTTGGCCTCTTCGTAATTGGTCATTACATGCCTCATTAGCATTTGCAGCTTATCAACAGATGGCTCGGCCCACAGGTGCCCCTTGAATGGCCCTTCTGCAACTTTGCTGAATGTATCAACGGATAACGGGTAGCTATTTGCATCTGTCATGTACTCGGTTGGCCCTGACCAATTCGTGGAAATCACAGGCAGTGACATTGCCATTGCCTCGACAATCGGCCTACCCCAACCTTCTCCTCGAGATGGCAAAACAAATGCATTTGCCGCCTTGTAAAGCCTTGGTATATCAACCTGAGCTATATGGTCATCAATCACATAAATTGGAGGCCAACCACAATGGGGTTCTTTAAGATCAGACCTTTCTACATACTCAACAATCTTGTTTCCAAAATCTTTCTCGGTATGATACGGATTAGTCAACAGAAACAATGCAACACCATCATCTTTATCAAACTCTCTCAAGTAAGACCTCAACAATACATCCCATCCCTTTCTATGCTCCCATTTGAAAACACTCAAGAAAACAAACTCTTTCTCCCCCGAATTCGATTTCCCCAACACTAAACTCCCTCTTGCACCAATATCCAAAGGCTCATACTTGACTGGATCAAAAAACTCCACATCCACAGCCTGAACAACCTTAACAACCTTCAAAGGATCAACCCCGCTTCGCATAAATGTTTCCACATGAAACTCAGTAGGAACCCAAACATAATCCATATTGTTACACCTATCCACATGATCAGCAGTAACCCTATCAGTTTCAAACATGGTCCTCCCAATCACAGCCTTGAAATACTCATAGCCAATTGGAGGGCATGGAAGGGTCTCAAACAAAGGAGGGTACCAAGCCCCGGGCTCACTATGACAAATCACAATAGTCTCATCTAATCTACACTGAGTCTGATGAAGCTGAATGGCTAAATTTCTCATCTCCACTGACAATCCTTCCCAGAATTCAATATTTTCAAGATCGCCGTGTTGCTCAATTCTGAGCCTAAATCGTGGGGATTTCTGGTATTCATGTAAGGATAAGATGTATGACCAGGATTCTGAGCTGTACCCACCTCCTGATAAGAAAGGAGCCATCCATAGCACGCAGTGAGAAGGTGTGGACGCGGTGTTTGAAGGGGTCTGGTTTGGGGTTCGTATGGTGGGGGGGCTTGTTTTGAGAAAATTTAGGAGGTGTTGTAAAATGTTGGGGTGGGGGGAGAGGATGGATCTTAAGAGGGAGATCTTGTAGTGGTTTGTTTGAGTGATGATGGCGTATGAAATTGCTGACAAGAGTACCAGGACTGAGAATAAACTGAAGAGCTTCGAGGTCAGAGGCTTCGGTGGTGATGGTGGCGACGGCGGCGGTCGGTGAAGCTCTTGGCTTTCTGGTGTATTCATCGTAGAGTTGCTCAGCTCTAACTCTCAAAGTCGCGATAGAAATTAAACTAGCGAATATGAATTTTGGTGCTACGAGTATTACTAAGATGATAGTTTCAATCCACCTATTAATTTTAGGGAAAATGACACTTTTTCCCTCTGAGTTATATACTTATAGCACTTTTTCCTCATGAATTATTTAAGTGGCTCTTTTTTTCCTAAAATGTTAAATGGACATATTTACCCTTAAAATAAATATTTCATTTATTTTTCTTCTCCAATAAATTATTACTATAATTTGGTTCAAACCAAACAGATATTATAGCAACCAAACCAAAATATTTCAATTACAATTTAGAATCAAAACGCGATATTTAGAGTTTATTAAAATCACAAATCGAAATGGCCGGTTCATGTTCCGAACTGAAAAAATAAAATACAATTATTGTTGAATTTAGACTATTTTAAAATAAAAAATAAAATAAAATTTAAAATAAAGACGGTTCAAAATCACGAACCGGATCCGGAACCGCCGGTTTACGGTTCATGATCCAGTTTTTTTGGTTCATAAATTTAATAAATTGAAATCTAAATATTGGATTCTAGATCTGAATCATAACCGGAAACTTTTAATTCGATTGCTATAGTGTCTGGTTCAGTTCGAACCGAACCGTGGTCGTTGCTACATATACACAATAATTTGTTGGAGAAGTAAAATAAATAAAATATTTACTTTAAGGGTAGAAATGTCAATTTAATATATCAGGGGGAAAAACCACCACTTTTAAAATAATTGAAGGGCTAATGGGCTTACATAAATAATTGAGGGGGAAATAGTGCTATAAGTATATAACTTAGGGGGAAAAAGTGCCATTTTCCCTTAATTTTAATAACAATTATTATTTTAGTGTGAAAGTTTATTAAGCAGGTCATTCCTCTATTTAATACATGTCAAAATTTAAAATTTTTAAAACTCTTCTTTAATACATGTTAAAATCTAAATTTTTTAAAAGGATTTTCGTCTCTTTCAACTTAAGATCTCAATTTAGCGTGAATAAACAGATTTAAATTAAATTTGGAGTTCTCCTCCTCATCTTACCATAATTTGAGGGAGATGACTGCGACTTACCATAATTTGAGGGAGATGACTGCGAATTGAATCGATCGTAATGTTTAAATCCTTCTATTTATGTTCAAATTGAGATCTTAATTTGAAAAAAAAAAATACTCGTAATAATTTTATATTTCAGCATATCTCAAACGAAAGAGTGATCGGCGTAATGAATGGTGGTACTAAAATAATAATTGTGGATAAAAATTAGTACTAAAAAGTAAATAAAAATTAAATATGTAAATCAAAATTGTCATTTTGTTAATACTTGTGAAATTAAAATTGGTGAATTCTAAAAGCTACGTACCCGTAGAAAATAAATAAAATTACTCCATAGTAACTAAATAAAAAAAAAATATTGTTCCAATCATTTTCTTTACCTCATTTCCTCTTTTATAAAATCTTCTCAGGTATAACTAGAGGCGTTATGCTGTGCAACCGTGTAATTATTATTATTATTATTATTATTATTTAATATATTAACATATGATGGAGTTTTTACTTGGTTTTGTTTATGTCTCTTTATAACAATTCTTCTCCGAAGGCATTCAGATGTCAAAGCTCATTATTTTTCTTAGAACAAATATCAACTATTAGTCTACTCTTAAACTCTGAATGAAGAAAATGAATATACGTGTTTGCAGTGAAGTAGCAATCTGAACACTAGTGCAACTTCCATATTATGGGGGGAAAAAAACCCTACAAATTACAGCAGCTTTATTCACCATATTAACAAGTGCATCATGTCATAAACAAGTCAACACAGATTTCAGCTTGCAATTGTTTCAGAGGACACGGAAGGGTATTATAATTATAAAGTAAATTAGCAGACTCTTGCAGCCACCTTTGATTATAACCTATTCAAATCTTCGACTGGACGCGGCTCAGAGTTGCCTCAATTGACCCATGTGGTTCATCCGTTGGTAAATACACATCGTCACCAAACTGTAATGTATAACAACATGATGTTTCAGTACAGAAAAAAAGAGCAAAATTTTCCATCTTTGTAAATAGTTTATGTATACAAAACTAAAAAAAAAAAAACTGAACAAATTATCTAATGTAGTTAAGATGTGTGGGGTAGCCTAGTAGTAGGTTCAAGTCAACAATATATGAACCCATCGAAACAACTAATGATCATAGTAAAACCGAAAGCTTATCCAGGCTTGGCTGGCCATTATTATGTTATATACATGCAAAAGTGATTTGGCAATAGTTTACCCGAGGACTGATTGCATACCTTGGCTGGGAGGAGGGGGTATACCACTATTATTTATCACTCAAAATCAGCAGAATAAAAAGAACCCTACCTTGACAATGGCAGGATTGTCTTTGCCTGACAGGTTCACAGGTAGAAAATGAAGATTTGGCATCTTTAATTGGATTGATACTAAGTCAGGAAACCTGAAATCATGACAACCAAAAGGTAAAATATCTTTACCCTAGAAATATGAAACTCTAATGTGGCTTTAAGAGTAGGTTTGTACAGTAGTAAGCAATTTGCATTATACTGTTTGAAACTAGAGTGAAAATATAGAGAGAACCTGCCAAGAGCCGCCTTTGCCATGTCATAGAGTGTACTTTGGACAGATGGACTGTATACACCTTCTTTAGGACAGCCAAAGAAAGTATGCAGCAGAACCTTTTTCACATCCATATACATCTCTGCGAAATAATGGTTCTTCATAGGAACACTTGAGAGAGATTTGAAGGAATACCTGTTGTTAACCAATATGTTTGGTCATAACAAGATTCAGTTTCCAAAATCTTTAATAAATGCGCAGCAAATAGATACTGCATATCTAACAAACAGGAAATGAATTGAACAAACTTGGATATTATATTACATTTAGAATAATAGACACAAAATCCTTACCAACAACTTACCTCCATAATGCTGTGATCTCTGTTGCCAGCATCCTCTCCTGTGTTTCAGGCAACATAGTGTACTTGTCCCTTATGAACCCTTCAAAACCTGACTGTAATGGTTTACCCAACAAAAAGTAAAAGCACATTTCAGTTCAGCAGTCTGGAGTTTGGACACAACATTGAGTGAGAGCAAGAGAGATAGTGAGGTTTAATATTAGTTCATCTGATATCAAAACATCTTAAAGGGGAGGAAACATGAAAAAGCCTATAGAGAAACTCAAAACTGATACTAGTTACCTTTGTTGTCTTCAGCACTGCCAATCCCTCAATACCAGAGGTAACCTGCAACACGCCTGATTTCTCCAGGAAGACTTCAGTAGTATGCTTTTCAGACCCAAGCTTAAAACCTTTACAATAACAAAATACAACATCAGAGAAAAAATACACACAAAGGACACAGAGATGATTCCTTCTCCACTACACAACAGCATTGTAATATATTTTGTATTGGATGTTCAACAAGAATTGAATTGAACCAACTGCTACAAGTAATCTGTCAGAGGTATGTCAGTTACCAAACAGATGGAAAGATGGGACTTTTAATTTAATAATAATAATGAAAATGAAAATAGAAAAAAAAAAAAAATTAAAACCATGGTGACAGCTTTCAGCCCTTTTTTATTTTAGACATACAGACCCAATCTAGTGACACTCTTTACAACATCCAGGGTCAGGGAAGCTTATAAATTTCATAAACTGACAACAACGTTCTGTGACTGCAAGCACCACATATTTGAACTAGCACTAAAAGATTTTAGACAAAAATATTTCCTCTCAGTTGAATGCAACCTCAATCATAAATTATGTCGAGTTTATTATTTCTGGGTTTTAGCTTCACTAGCACTTGAAAATTTTAAGTCTAGCCCAATTGAGTCCAAAACCCCATCCCTTGGACTCAACCTCAAACGCTTGCTGCCTAACTGAAAAGATGAAACCAGTTGTGAATGTTAATTGCACCAAGTCAGCAAAGGCAAAATTCTTGCAATGAGATAAGTGTTTAAAATCTTTTTAGTTAGGAAGTTTCACATGATGTACCATCATCTCTTAAAATGCAATCCTACTGCAATAGAAAATCATTGTCATGTACTCCTATCGATGCCATGTGATTATAATATGACTTCTCACAATATCTTTATTTACACGAGGAGATGATGAAAAATTAGGGAAGTGCATGGAAACAAATGGTAATCTTCAGATAACAATTAAATAGAGAAGTGTACTTCATCACTTTTTACTCTTGTCCTTGAGATATATGAACAGCTTACCATGTGCATGTGGCCGACCATTTATGTTAACACGCTCCCATGGCTTTTCTACTATCCTGATGATTGCAGCAGTGACCTACGGGGAAAATAAATATAAGTAACAGCCATGATTGGTCAAAAGTGTTGAATAAATTTTGCAGAAAAATAAAATAAAGCCTATCATTAACAAGACCTGAATTTAGTCAACCGTTACTGCTTTACATACAATTAGAAAAAGTACAATCAACTACATTTTAATCACAAAAAATGGGCTTGCTTTTCTAATGCCATAAAGGCATAAACTAACGTAAAACTAATATGTTTCCTGTATGAAGAAACAGAACAAACTTAGTAAGAAACTGGCATAAATAATAGGGGCTTAAATTGTGTAAATTACCTGCTTATAATATGAAGTGAAGTGCTTGGCAAGTTCAATAGCAAATTCCTCCACTGGGAGTCGCTGGGAACATTCCTTGGCCTTAGCATATACCTGTTCAATGGCCCAATTGATATAACTAGATGAGTATAGAGCAGAACAAGGTGGCTTGTGATCCTGGAAAGCATTGTTGAACGCTATAAAATTTATTTTTCTTCTTTCAGTTATAATGGGGATAACTACAGTGAAAGCAAAAAAAAAAAAAAAAAAAAAAAAAAAAAATTACAGTTGGAGATAAATATTTTTTAGAAAAAGATTGAGCAATCCCCAAATTTTATCTGCTGGACCTCAATGAACCAGAAATATACACTCTCCTGGATCTCCTAAATTACATTAGAAACTGCATGATGATAATTCATATCAAGTTCATTAACTAGTTTTCTCCTAAATTATATGTCGGTGCAAGCATATAACAAAGCTTCTTATATAATTATACGCCCTTGATCTGAGCTAAGTCTATGAAACAGAAGATACTACCTGGTATCAAAAGACACAGAACTTATCGTGATTATAAATGACTAACTACTTTCAAAAGATATGGCGGTGAATCCGTGATGATCGTAGTCAGATGCACCTTCCTGACTTAAATAAAATCAAAACCGTTCAAACATCTATGAACGCATGATTTCATTCAGAATAGATCAAATCAATCTTGTAACTGAAAATCATACAAAGCAAATCAAAATTCCACAACAGAGCACAAAATTCGCCAAAAACAGTCTTAAACAATTAAGATCTCATACATACAACCTGACAATAATACAATATATCTCACGCAATCGCAAACTCGCAAACTCGCAAATACGCTACCTACAGCGGCATTGATTCAGTGAAAGATAGAGTTGTAGATAGAGGCATACGGTGTTCTTCATGGTATCGGTGGCGACGATGTCTGAGTTGTCGCCTGCGACGTAGGCGGGGAGGCAATCGGAGAGGAGGCTTATGCTGACGTTCCATTCGGAAAAGTGATGCGTACCGTCTCCGTCTCTCCATACCCGGCCAACTCTCACCCTGGCCTTCCCGTGCCTCTGCTGCAGCTTAAATCCGTCCTCCATTTTCAGCCCAAATTAGTGTATGTTACAACCAAGATAGAACTTTTTTTTTATGTATAGTTTGATCGTTTTCCGGTAACTAGTGGTTTCCAGCTTCCTGTGGGCCATTTTAAATTGGGAAATGCACTTTATGATGTGTATCAAAAATATATTTTTTTTTTGAAAACGTATCAAAAATATTTTATGAGTTATACTACGTGAGTGGTAGATCAGGATCCATCTTGTCCTAAACAATGTGTAAAATGTATATTTTTAGTATTGAAATGAACTGTTATAATATATGTGTTTCTAAGTTAAAATATAGCAAATTTGTGAAAATAATGTAAAGTCATCAAATCTTAATCTGTTAATATTGTGTAGTTATAATATTTGAAATAAACTTGTAAATACAAAATAAGATAATCAATTACATATATATTAATCTTGTGTGTTATTTTTAAAAGGTAAATTGTGTATATTATCCACAAAATAATTTGCGCTACGGGACTTTTAAATTCTACTTCATTGACAAATATAGATATGACATTTTCATTTAATGGGTATAAGAAATTGTCTACATTTAAAATTTGGAAGATGAAATAAAAGTTTGAAATAGAATTAAGAGTACAAGTAGTATTTTTTTTCCATATTTTATTATATTAGGTAAATATGTAATTTTCCATAACTAATTTATAACGAGTATCAACTCAATTAATAAGTAATAATTGATATAAAATAACACTGACACCTGACACGTATAACATTAAATAAAAATTAATTCAAATAGCATTTTGTTTCCTATGGTTATGAACATATGACAATTTTGGCCTTTTTGAAAATTATGTAAAACATTTATTAAAAAATTAATTCGGTAATGTTTGAAGGCTAATTCATAAGTTTAAAGGGGGTGTTTGGGCGCTACTCGTGATTTATTTTTATAGTAATTTTAAAGATGAGATTTTGTGAGCTTAAAATTAATCCAAAAAAGCTAGAATCACTCATGTTTAAAAATAAAATAAAATTAACAAAAAGAATTTTATTGCATGAACTCTCAATATATATTCCTAATGTAACAAAGAATTATAAATTATCTTCATCCCATAAGTTTCATTAGAAATATCAATATCAAAATTTTAAATGAGTGAGTACAATTTATGACTAAGAAGTAATATTTTTATAAACAAAAGTCTTCCTCAAATGATAAAGTAAAGGCATGGACAATATAGATACTGTATATGTTTCTTATCCAAATCCTATGGTACAATTCTGACCAATGAAGCTTATGCGTCAGTACATAACGTCAGTACATACTGTAATATTATGAAAAAGTAAATTAAAAATAACTTCAATCAAATCTCGTTAACCGAATTAGACAAACAAAATGAGATGGATATAGTATATTTTTAAGATTGATGGGGCCTACTAGTAGAAGTGGTCAATAGTTATATTTTGGAACCGTGTTCACCATGCGCATGGTGAACACGGGATATATCTATAATTTCTAAGCTGTAGATTCATAATTTATATATTGTAGATTCATAACATCTATACTGTAGATTCATAATTTCTATATCGTATTGTAGATTCATAATTTCTATATCGTATTGTAGATTCATAATTTCTATACTGTATATTCATAATTTCTGTACTGTAGATTCATAACATCTGTACTGCGAAGACGAAATAATGTGATTGCGAAGAGAGAAACGTCGTTAACAACAAATGAAAAACAAAAATTATGAATCTACAGCATAGAAATTATGGATCTACCCCTGTGTTCACCATGCGCATGGTGAACACTTTTCCACAGCATAATTTACCTAGTAGTGGTGAAACATTGCATTGTGGATTAAAATAAAATAGGTAATGAACTTTTTTTTTTTAAGTTAACCAGTGCGGTTTTATTTAGAGATAAACTGAAATAGAGTCAGGCCGGACAACGTCCCAATACATAGCCGTACCATGTCTAAAAGCTGTAAAAGCTAAAGTGTGAGCTAAATAATTATGTAATCTAGGAATAAAATTAATTGAGCAGAAATCAAACGTAGATATGCAAGCCTTGCAACCATCAATAGCATAACTAATATACGATCGAGACGGAACTCCTGGCGAAGATAGGTAGCACTGAAGTGTATGACAATCCGTGTATAGCTCTATAGACTGTTCTCCACGAGCTATAAGCCATGACAATGCCTCTTTGCACGCGAATGCTTCGGCATAAGTGGGGAGAAACAACTCGGGAGGGAAGCGCTGTAGGCCGAAACATAACCACCTTCGGCGTCGACATAACACCTTTTCGGTCGTGTTGCAGCAGTGTGAGTCGCAACGGTAGGCAGTGGCGGTGGAAGCAACGTCGGCTTGGCAGTGTTGGCAGCGTTGGCAGCGGCGGTTTCTCTGGCTGGTGCACGACTGACAGCCGCGTGGTGTACTCGTCGCCATGCCTGCATGGTGGCAGCCGCTGCGGCAATCAATTTCTTCGGCACTGGTAGATAGGCGTCCCAAACCACTCCATTCCGCCCTCTCCAAATATGATATAAAATTGCAGGTGCGTACATAATTCCATTAGTGTCTAAAACATTCAAGATTGCACTAAATCATTCATGGAAAACATTTGTCACAATATTGGGGAGTGGAATGTTAGATTGAGCCCATTAGCCACACAATACTAATGAGTGCATAGTGTCCTCATGCATGATTCCACACATGACACAAATCGGATCAATATCTACTCTCTTTATAAGCAAACTGTTGGTAGTGAAAAGGATATCACTTATAGTCCTCCATAGAAATGTCGATTTTAAGCTTCCATAGGATAAGCTATTTATCAAAAGCACCATCATTATTATTCTCGTAGTTCCTAATAATGAGCCTGTAGCCATTTTTAACAGAGTAGCATCCTAATAGTAATGAACTTTTAAGAATTTTAAGAATTTATTATTTTAATATTTTTAAAAAATTAATAAAAGTTATAAACAACAAAATTGTATCGAGAGTTGAGACATTAATAAATTACTCCAACAAAATTGTATCGAGAGTCGAGACATTAATAATGTAACACAAAAAATCAATAACGTCTCCACTGAAGCTTGAACTTACAATCTTTTAAATGAAAATTCAATCTAGGTACCATTAGATCACATAATTTTGGTTTACTTTGATAATTTAAGTCAATGATTGTTATTGGAATTGAGCACATAAAAGGAGATGGATAGAGTAATTTGTATCAAATGTTACGCTACTGCCTATCTTTTTGGGAAAATTGGATGTCTGTGAATGGTTTGGATTTTACTACACAACCGTCTGGTATCCCTATGGAAACTTGGAGACGGCCGATGCATGGACGCTTTAAACTAAACACTGACATTGCTTTCGACTCTCATTCAGGCTACATGGGAATGGGTTGGATTATAAGAGCCGATTCTGGACAGTTCATAGCAGCCAAAGGGACTCGTGTGTGTGGATTATTTGGGGTTGCAGAGGCTGAAGCTTTCAGCATCCGGGAAGCTTTGAGTTGGCTTAAGGATCTGAACATAGGTACTGTGGATGTTGAGACTGACTCTCAACTAACTTATTATGCTTTGTATTCTGATCCTTTCTTCTCATCTTTTGGTTCTATAATTTCTGATGTAAAGGAAATCGCATCTCAATTTCATGATGTGGTTTTCTATTTTGCAAGGCGATCCGCGAATCGCGCTGCTCATGCGATAGCTAGGCAAGCCGTTTCTGTGCCAGATTGCGAGGAGTGGAATGACCACCCTCCTTTATTTCTTGTAAACATTCTAAGTGCTGATATGATGAATTAATTTTTACCTCTCAAAAAAAAATATTTATTGAATAAATAAATAAATTTGATTAATTACGAGTTAATCAAATTAAATTAATTTTAAATTTAATATAAAAATTTGTTTATCCATATAACATTTTCATTTTCCTAACAATTCATAAATCCATAACCAAAAAGAGAAAAAAGAAAAAAAAAAAAGAGTAAAAAAAAAAAACGAAAACACAGCAGAATCCGAACGTGATATTGTTCTTCGTTTTTCGAATTAGCTTCATACCTTTCCCTGGCGTTTCTTCTCTCATAGAGAAGAGCCCAGGGAGGTTTCCTATCAATAGGCATTTGTATTTTGATCTGTGTTAGCAAAATTGTACACATTTATTCCATTTCTGTTTTGTATTGAAACGAATTTTGGTTTTGGTACGGTTTTCGGGCATGGCGAGCTCAACGGCGGCGAGGCAACGTGTGGTGGTGGTTGGCGGAGGAGTTGCCGGCTCTATCGTTGCCTATTCCCTTCAGGACCATGCCGACGTATTCCTCATTGATTCGTAAGTTTTATAATTCAATCCACACAGATCATCGTGGAAATGTGAATCAATTGAAGCAATATTTCAAATCGTTTTAGCATTTTGCTTCGATTATGCGTTCATTCCTCGTGGTTAATCCGGATTGTGGAACATGACAGGAAGGAATATTTTGAGATTCCCTGGGCAAGTTTAAGGTCCATTGTTGAACCAGCATTTGCAAAAAGATCATTGATTAACCACTACGAATACCTTCCGAAAGCTAACATTATTGTGTCTTCCGCTGTTGACATCAAGAGCTCTCAAGTATTAACAGCACAAGCCCGCCTAATTGGATATGATTATCTCGTTATTGCCACAGGCCATACATACAATAATCCTTGCACAAAGCAGGACAAGATCTGCCACTACCAAGCAGGTGATAACTCAGATTGCATAACACTGTTTTTTTCTTGAGAATAACATTCATGCTTGGCTTTCATTGCATTGAAGAATTTAAAATTTGAGTATGCACTCACTGTTAAATTTGAACTTGAAATCGTAGCTGCTGATGAGTAGGGGTTTGAGATATGGATGAACATTAAAAGTGATCACATCCGCTACTACTGATGGGAATCCGGCTAATATATAACTAGGCTAGAGTGGTGTTAGAGTCTGGGTTGTAGTTATGACTTGGGTTCGTATCATCAACTCCTTCCATGTATGAGTTTTTACTGATCTATCTACAATTTTTTAGGTGGGAAATTTGATAGAAACAATTATCTGTTTTCCAAGTTCATTGAACAGAAATGAAGTGCACTGCCAGTTTTATGTTTTCTAGGTCATAGAAAATTTGTAATAGGTCTGAACAAGCACTGAGTGTTTCGATAATATGATTTTTTTTTCCTGGTTTTCAGAGCATGACAGGATAAGAGCTGCTAATTCGGTATTGATTATTGGAGGGGGAGCAACAGGGGTAGAACTGGCTGCTGAAATCACGGTGGATTTTCCAGACAAGAAGGTGACACTTGTACACGAGGGAACAAGGTTGGTTGATTTCCTTAGAGAAAAGGCTAGCGCGAAGATACTGAACTGGCTAATCTCGAAGAAGGTGGAAGTCATCCTGGGGCAATCTGTTGACTTGGAATCTTCTATAGATGGTGCATATGTGACAACTGGTGGGGAAACCATAGCTGCTGACTGCCATTTTCTCTGCATGGGTAAGCCGGTTGGTTCTTCGTGGCTAAAGGAGACTTTCTTGAATGATAGCTTGGATGACAATGGAAGATTGCTCGTTGATTCAAATTTGAGGGTCATGCGTCACAACAACGTCTTCGCTGTTGGAGACATCGCTAACACTAACGTAAGTTCAATATTAACACTTTCTGTACTCTCTATAATTCAATACTCACTGTAATTATGACATCCATCCAGGAAACCAAACAAGGATCTTTGGCTCAAAAGCATGCATTCTTGGTTGCCAAGAACTTGAAATTGTTGATATCCGGAGGAAACGATGACAGATTGGCTGCATATAAGCCGTCGAGTACAGGATTGGCTATTGTTTCTTTGGGGAGACGAGAAGCTTTGGCTCAAATTATGTTTATGAGCTACGTTGGACGCCTCCCTGGATTGATAAAATCTGGTGATCTGTTTGTTGGCAGGACCAGGAAGCAACTTGGCCTAAACCCAGATGCTTCTTAGTTTACAAGCCACTCATATTACTGTGAATTCTTTCTTGGTTCTCTGTACAATGTTGCAAATTATACTCGGTTAAGTGCAAGCTGTATATTAGTGTTATATTTTAAATATCAATTTACTTTTTCCATCTTATTATTATATATATATTTATATATAAAATAGTAAAAGTATATACCTCTTACATCAGGACCAAAACACCCGACTTGGAATTGGTATTAAAGATGGTATACTTAATATAAACTTTTACGCGCCGAGTAGCGCGTGTTGTGCATGCGCAAGGTGCGTTGAACGTACGAATAAACTGCTGTCATTTCTCCACACGGGTCCTACATATTCAGTCCAAAAACCTCTTCCTGCAAAGACCCAAAAACTTCTCTCTCCTTCACATAATTCTTGTTTTCTCAAAAATCATACTAAGATGCATTGATGGAGATGCTCTATGGTCAAAATGCGATAATAAAAAATATGAAAATTAATGATGTTTTGACAAACTTCTTACTTCTTCCCCCAAACTAAAATCTTTTACTAAATTATACTCCCTATATATGCAGAATATAAATGTCATTACAGACAACTTCAACCATAGCGTGGTACTATTAAACGACTTATTAACATTTTTAATTTGAAGCATTCAATTATGAATAACTTATAATCTATATTAGTTTTATTTCTCAAATCTCAAATTTAATAATAAGAGTTGGCTCGGTAACCAAGAATTGGGTACTTTTCTAATCCGGGAAGGATCCGCTTATCCGAAATCCCCAAACGAAACGGGCCAAACAAGGAAACCCTTCCTCGATTCAACTCTTAACGTCGTCATCGCGAAAATCAGCTCTCGTTGCTTAGAAACTTCGTCCACAGCTTCCCCTTTGGTTGAAGACTCAAAGTCATATCATTACATTCCCAACGCTTTCCGGTTCGACATTTTCTCTCCCGTACACATATATCATCACGATTTCGATCTCCGGCTTCTAGCTTGAATTCGCGACCCTCAATCTCACGCTAACCCGACAAAAGTCGCAGAACAGGAAAATGAAGAGAGTCTTCGGTGTTAAGAAAGACAAAGAGCCTCCTCCCTCTATTCAAGACGCTTCCGATCGGGTATTATGGCAAACTTGTTTGCGATCTGATTCAATTGTTGCCTATTAAGAACTAGCACAGCTGAAAAGTTTTATAATGTGGTCGACATCTATGGAGTTCAGAAATTTTACAGCAATTAGCAAAACAGAGAAGCTGATTTAAAAAAAAAAAAAATTAAAAATTATATGCTGCGTTTGTGTTTCTAGATATTTTATGCTAGAGTATTTGTGTGGAATTTGTGCTATAAACCAGCCGGAATCTGTTTTTCAATGGTCTTGTGTTGATAGAGCTTTGGTGTATCTTTTGAATTAGTTGTTAAGGTATAAGTCTTAAACACTTCATACTAGCTTACTACTTGTGATCTTGTATTAGTCCTGATTTCTGCAACTTATTTAAGCTATAAGCTATAAGTTGAGAGCCTGTGAAAATAGTATTTATTGCTTGAATTTGAGTCTGCTTGTGTTGGTGAATAGAAACTGTTGATTGGCTGGGAAGTTGTATATTGTTGTCTAGCTGTGTTCATAGCTGTGATAGTTGTCTGACACTCTGACTGGGCTCTCTGTGGCATTGAAGGCTGTATTTTTTTAGTATTTTGTCTCTGCGGTTCTGTGTTTTGGTGATAGTGCTATTGTTAGTTGTTGGTTGAGAAGATACTTTAATCAAATATATATCAAATCTTGCAGATTAATAAAAGAGGTGACACCGTGGAGGATAAAATCAAGAAGCTGGATGTTGAACTTGCAAGATACAAAGAGCAGATAAAGAAGACCAGGCCTGGTCCAGCTCAAGAGGCCGTCAAAGCTCGAGCCATGAGGGTTCTCAAGCAAAAGAGAATGTGAGTTATATTGTTACTTGTCTATGGAGTATGAATTGCTTCACTAAAGTGTGTTAAGCACATTTGTCCTGTTAGTTTTGCCATATGCCTTTACTTTACATTTCAGCTTTCAATTATTTAGACTCTTACATGATTCATAATTGCAAAATATAAACAAAAGGCAAAAACACCAATAGGGGTTTTTTTTTTTTTTTTTTTTTTTTTTGAAAAACAATAGGGGCTTATTTGTTTCTTCTTGATTTGTTTTTTTTTTTTTTAAACCTCTTCCAGCAAGATGTTCATGTACTGAAAGTCTGAAACAATGAAAAGAATATGAGATTGTGATGAAAGCTTAAGTTGACTTGTTGAATCACAATATCACAATTTAGAAAAACGTGGTTTCCAGTTTATCTTCAGCTTCTTTTGGTGCAGCTGGACATGTTGATAACAGTACTATCTATGTTGATCTTACCTTACACTTTAATGTTCAATCCCTGAATCTGTTTGTGAATGGAAACAGATAAGGATTCCTATAAGAATCTTGTAAAACAGAGTTGAGTTTAGATCTTAAAAAGATTCTGTAGTTGAATAAGAACAGAACAGATTTTGCTTCAGAATGTAGTCAATTGGCTAAAAACTAAAATTTTGTAGGTTATTATGTAATTTCTCTATTGATTCCTCCTACTAGCATTCATAGAAGAATTGCACATTCTAGGGCATTGAATTTAATGAGTAAAAATATTTCTCTATACCTGTTTAGTTTGATGTTTAAGTGGGATTCTCATAGTTGTGCTTTATCAGTTGTTTCTATTTATGTTAATATGATTTCTATTCCCTCACATCATAAATGTATTTGTTGTTTTTATCCATATATGAACTGTCATGTAACTCTGAACAGGTATGAAGGTCAGCGTGATATGCTCTATAATCAGACATTCAACCTAGACCAAGTTGCATTTGCTTCTGAGGGGATCAAAGATGCTCAGCAAACAGTATGTTTAATGGACCTCCTATGCTTTTTTCCTGGCTTGACCTGTTTTCTTAGTCTACTTGTGTTTCATCAATTGCTAAACCTACTTGTGTTAACATACTCTAATAGAACCATTGTGTTTGAAATTGAAATATCTGAATGCATACTTGAACCATTTAGGGTTTCAACCATGTGTTAAGTACTTAAGTATAGCCTGACTGCCCACAGTTGGAACATGTTTTAAGACAATGGAGAGTAACATTGTTTTAGGCTCTGAATTCTTACGAATGTTGTACTTTAGTTTGACAAAAGCTTTGAATCTTGAACTACCTAAAGTTTGACAAAAATTTCCAATCTTGAACTACCTACCTATAAAGTCCCATACACCTTATTGAAATAGGTCGGACCTGGGCATGGATTACCTATGTTTCAGAGAGGTCTAGCAGATGCTTAATTCAAGTTATCAAGTATAGGATTAAATTTTAGCTCATTGGATGTACCTGTTAAATTAATGAAACTTGATGTTAAAATTTTGATGGTCACCTAGAACTCTAGAAGTCACTGTGCCATGCTCTCTGGGCTAGGTCAATTCACAGTGAAGTATGTCTTCTTCTTGATAGTTCCCCCATGGGGCACAGCTCATGGGTCATATCTTGTAAGGATACGTTTATTCTGCAACCTGATTGGAACCTGCTGCCTACCTCCCTAGATGTAGGACAATAATCAACTTGTTTTGAGGAAGGGATCTCTTGATTTTGTGTCCTAAGTATCGCAAATTCCCAAGTAGTCTCAATTTTATCTGTAGAGTGTAGACCGTACTTGAGGCTTAATTGGGCATTAGTTTCATACTTCAATTTGTTTATAATTGAATTTTCTGGTGCTCACTCTTTCTTTTTCTCCAGATGTCAGCTTTGAAATCGGCTAATAAAGAGTTGAAAGGAATGATGAAGACTGTGAAGATTCAAGACATTGATGTTTGTGTTCACATCTACTTCTAATCCTTCTATATATTTCATACTCTTTTGCATTCTTAGTTCTTACATAACAATTTGAGTAGCTCATAATGGGAAATTGATGTAGAACTTGCAAGATGAAATGATGGACCTTATGGATGTTAGCAATGAAATCCAAGAAACCCTTGGTAGAAGCTACAGTGTTCCAGAGGACATTGATGAAGAAGAACTCATGGGTGGTACGCTTAGATGTCAAATTTAGATATGATATTTAATATTGAATTTGGAGAAAGATATCCATATTAAGCAACTGTGTTTTATAGCAAAATTAATTTTTTTATACATCTTTTTTCTCCCTTGGTAAAACATGACATAGACTCAGAGGTTACTGTTTCTTAATTTCCTTTTAAAGCAGAGCTATATCCAGAAAAATAGCCTTTTAGTCAGTTTAGAACATGGTTTTCCGTTATCATCTCAGAAACTTTATTGTCATCTCCACCATGCAGAGCTTGATGCTTTGGAAGCGGACATGGAAAGTGAAGGTGACAGTGTCCCTTCATACCTTCAACCAGACAAGGAGCCCGATTACTCAGAGCTTAACTTGCCAGCAGCACCAACTGGCCATGCCCCAGTAGCAAATCAGGTACTTGTGAATTCTGATATTCTGGAGCTGCTTCTAGACACTATTAAATTGGATATATATACTTATGGAAAGTAAAAGTTGTGCTGAAACTATAAAGTTTGGTGAATGATCCTTGACAGGCGGAAGACGAACTGGGCTTACCTGCTGTCCCCCGGGCCTCACTTCGCGGTTAGCTACACTATGCACCACAGTAGTTGACTCCTTCATTTTTCCCTAATGTCAAATATTGGTTGGCAAATGCTTGACATAAACATACTGTGCAGTATACTCCGAATTTGTTACAGTTCAGGGTGTTAATGTGTCGTAATAATGGATTATTAATATACAACTATATGCACTGTATTTAATCCAACCTATAACCTTGTCTGCAGACCCCATCCCAATTTTATTTTTTTTTAATAATTTGGGGGGACAAAGATTAAACCAAGCTCAACATGTGTGATCATTTTTGTATGTTTTTTTTTTTAATAAATGTTCAAACTAAAACAGCAACATAGTCAAACACATAGTGCAAAAGAGGCCAAAGCATGAAACACGAATTTCAGCGGACATAGCGACGAGGTACTTGTATATTAACAGAAGACGACATGATAAAACAAAAACAAAACAAAAAAATTTTGAAATGAGTCGTCAGCAGAGCAAATGGGAGACCTTTCATTTAGTGTTTATTATATTAGCACAGAGACTTAACTTTACTTCCAAAAAAAAAAAAAAGGGGGGGGAAGAAATGCAACGAGCATTTTGCTACTTTTTGCTTTCTTCCTTTTCCCCTCCCCCCTTCCGATTCCCCTCTAAAGCCCACACCATTACACCTTCCATCCTTTTCTCACATAAATTCCCACCTAAATAAAATTATAAAAAAGAAAAAGAAGTAAAAGCTTAAACAATACACAGATGAACTCATCATTCCCTTCACTGTACGTCCGTATATACACCATTCCTTCTTTTTAAAATTTATTAGGCCTCTGCGCTGGCACCTTCACCCTGCTTTGAGTACCCAGAAAAGAAGAAATATAAGGCCTTCCTGCAAATTTTAAATCAACATCAACATAGATCAGATCTTAGACGTCGAAAACAGAAGCATGAAAACATAACTCCACATTATAACATGACAACTAAGCAGCATTAATAACACGTGCACTATAACTGCACATACCCAAAACTAATGCAACATACATTAATTAGCAGTTACCAAATATCAAATTGTGTTATCAAAGTGTAACACTCTAGCTAATTCAATTAAGACATGGTGGGCAATAATAAATTTAATGTTTTAGTTCAAATAAGAGTTTTAAAAAAAAAAAAACTTTTGATCCCTCAGGTCTCTAACTATTAAGATTTTCAATTTTAATGCATGACTATTCAATTGCTTTCACATTTGTTCCCTTGTTCAATTCGTCAACTAACCTAATCTTGATAGTTAATTACCTAATTTGGAATGGTATCATAGTCGAGGGACCAAACGTGACAAAAAAAAAAAAAAAAAAATCTTAAACTAAGTTAGAATTATTAATCTTGGTCTCTTTGGGAAAACTAGTATTATGCAACTACTCGCATTTTTAGCCATAATTTCATGTGTTTTGGAACAGTTAAACCGGACATAAACGTCGCCATAAAAATAGGTAATAATAATAAATATTTCGGCCGGCCCGAGTTGACTCGGTGGTCGAGATCAATGGCTTAATGAACGGAGCTGTGGTTGGAATGCTTACCTGACCGGCATTAGTCCTTGAAGATCACCCGGTCCGCTAATTCTAGCAGCGGCTTCAGGCAGTCGGGGGAGAATTTCCTGGCGAAGAGGTAGGAGTAAGTGGAGTTCGACTGCCGGAGGGTGAGAATGAGCTCCGGCGAGATTTCCGGCGGTTGGTACGTGTGCGGGTGGCCGCCGACGCTCCCGGTCCAGTTGACACGTGTGAGAGCGTAATGGGTGCAGCCGTCGGGATCCTCCATGGACAAAAGCGTCGGGAAATAGTGCTCTTCCGGGTAACACGTGTCCTTATCGAAACACGGCAATCTGAACTTCCTCCATAGCCTCCGGTCCCTGATCACCATCAAGGCGTGGCGTCGGGCCAGGACGAAGAACTGCGACCCGACCCGGAACCGTTGGAATGGGACTTCCGGTAGCATAACGTCCTCCCCCCTGGCGACGTAGCGGTCCAGCAATTGGGGCTCATCGGATAATATCTCGATGAAGCTCCGGAACATCGGGAGCCGAGTCGACTCGGCGAGTTGGGGAGCGAAGAGGGAGTTGTACGCGAAGGTGAAGGAGTGCAGAGGGATGCAGTGCTGGGAAATTAGGGCGAAATAGGAATTCAGGGAGTCGTCGAGGAGCGCGGCGGCGAGGAGGCGGCGCCCGGCGGAGATCAGCGTCGGGGACGACCGCTCCGTCCTCTTCGCCGCGATAAACCGCCCCTGGAATACCCCGCCAGGCGGCGTGATCTCCACGGACGGATCCGCGTGTACGTAAATATTATACAGCCCTTCGTTCCCGGCGAAGAATTTCTCCCACAGCGGCGCGAAATGGAGATCACTATTCGTCAAAAACAAAAACGCTATTTTCGGCCGCGAATTGATCGTCCCAAGGTGAGACACCGAGCCCACCCCCCTAACCCCGCCACCACCGCCGCCGCCGCGGGCGGCGGCGAGGTTGGCGCGGCGGAAGAGCGCGAGGTCATCAAGCTCGTCGGGGAGAGAGATTTCGACATGTTTGGGCGGCAGAAACCGCGGCACAAACAATAAGAGAAGCGGGCAAGATAACAGAAGAACAAAGGAGAGTACAAATGGCGTATTAAACATATTCCCAGATCAATCCAAGAAAACTCCACAAATTCCCAATAAAAATCGAATCTTTAACACAATCTACCTAATATTTTTATATGAACATCTGCACATACAACGGAAAGGGCTTTCAAGAATCGTTAAATTCGTGGAATATGTGCAGTTTATATAAAGATGGGATGAACAATGAAAAGGATGGAGGCTTTATATATATATATATATATGGAGAGAGAGGCTAGAGAGCGGGGGGGTGGGGGGTGGGGGGAAGAAGATGATCGATGAAAGTTGCAGAGCGAAATGGAGGAGGATTGGAGGCCTTATTATGCTACAATGGTGGTGGAGAATGGGGACGATACAATAGGAGGATTTTTTTCTTTTTCTTTTTCTTCTAATTTTAGGCTCTAAAAATTCGACTTTTTCTTTGGTTTAAAAATAATACATTAAAATCCCCATCATATAATACAGACATATAAATATATAATACTTGCCATTAGAATTTCCGATACTTACAAAATGCTTACGTGGGAATTTTGACCAAAATAAAGTTTGATAATATTGTGTAGCATCTTTGTTACTAATGGTGTGTAATAAACTAATAATATAAATTTTGTTTACATTATCTTAACGTTTTAAATTTAAATATATATCCAAATTTAATCTAAAAATATAATAAATTTCAAAACATATTATATTTATTTATGATTTGTGTCTCTTTTTTTTTGTTAATTTTATTTATATTAAGCCATAAGAGCAATATTACAAAATACGATAGGCGCTAGTCAGGCGCCAAAGTCTCATGCCTAGCGCCTAGATGGAACACCAAAAAGACACATGTCTCTAGGATTGCAAACAAACAAACAAATAAATTTTAAAAATATACTCCGTAACTAACTCAGTTGATTCAGCATCGAGTTAGGTGCCTAGTTTGCTAGCCGACTATGTGGCGTGTGTCTAGATGCTAAAACGCCACGATTGAGCGATGCTTAAACGCGATTTTTATAACACAGTAATAAAAGTTGTATATACAATTTTTTAAACAAAAATATATCTACCGTTATTAGGGATGTAAACGAATCGAATCGAGTCAAATATCTCACTATTCGATTCGAATTCGACTATATATTCGAATATTCGTATTCGTATTCGTTTAATATTCGAATCTCAAATTTGATTCGTATTCGATTCGGCCAGTTTATTCGAATATATTCGATTCGACTCGAATATTCGAATTCGAAAAGTCAGATTTAATTTTTTACAACTTATTCAAATAAATTAAGATAAAATGTAATAAAAATTGATATTTAAATAGCATAAAATTTAATATTAATATACTAATCAAGAATCACATGAAAATAACAACAAAAAATCAATCATCAAATTCATAAATTAAGTACTAAAATAAAAATTTAAGTTTGCATTAAGCTTAACTTGAATCCAAAAAAAAAAAGGTCAATAAAATCCATAAATTAAGTACTACAATAACAAATTACACTTCAACTATCATCAAATCATCATGTTCGCAATATGACATCAATTGGTTCTTCTTCCTCCTAAAAAAAATGAAAATAAAGATAATATTATTATCATTCAATCAATAAAATATACTAAATTATTAAAGTAGAACTTACATATGTCATAATAGGCTTATCGATCCCATGAAGTTGACGAACCCAATCTGCTCCACAAATCAAAACTTGCACCATATCAGAAGATAGTTTAGCACGATAAGGATCTAAAACTCGGGTACCTGCACTAAATGTGGCTTCTGATGCCACGGTGCTAACTGGAATAGCTAAAACATCACGTGCTAATTTAAACAAAATATTGAACTTCAATTCATGAGATTTCCACCAAGATAAAGCATCAAATCCAGAAGTTACTTCACCATCTTGACACCTATAAACCCCTTCCTCCAAGTAAATGTCTAACTCTGATTTGTTTGGAGTTTTATCTTCAACACTGTCCAAATATTTATCATACAAAGACAAACCAGAAAGGACTACTTTTCCTTTAGAAGTAGAGCATGTAGAAGCAACAGACAAACTCCCCACATGTGCCACAGAAGAACTAACTTTTCGAATTTTCATGTTATCAATTTGAACATATTCATAGAACAAGTCATATAATGCATCCTTGACCTTCGTCACATTTATACGTGCATCATTTGCATTATATATCTGGTTGAAAGCAAAATTAACCAACCTCATTTTGTACCTAGGATCAAGTATTGCTCCAATAGCCATCAAAAGATCAATCACCCCAATATTTGTCAAATTTTGTCTTCATCTTTTCAATCATATTTCTAATCAGCTCTTCATGATGAAACTCATTTTCATTTAAGACATGCTTGACCCTCCAAACAACACCAAGAAAAACATTAGAAGTGGGGTAGTTAGTTCCAGAGATCACGTGAGTAGCTTCATAAAACGGCTCTAAGATGCTAAGAACATCCTGTATTCTAGTCCAATCTTCCAAGCTAGGATAACATTTATATGAAGGCTCTCTTTGTGCAAATATTGGAAATGCATCCTTAACTTTAATGGCTACAACTAACATTTCATATGTAGAATTCCAACGAGTAACACAATCAAGAATTAACTTTTTCACTGAAATTCCCAAATGATGCACAATTTCAGAGAACTTCAACAACCTAGACTCGGACTGATTAATAAATCGCACACTATTCCTAACATCTTCAACAATGGTTTTAATCATAGAAATACCATCCTGAACAACAAGATTCAATATATGAGCAGTGCACCTCACATGAAATAGCTTACCACCCAAAGGTAGCTTATGACTCCTGGAGAAAGTTTGTTTGGCAATTCTAATTGCAACATCATTGTTTGAAGCATTGTCCACGGAAATAGTGAAGATTTTATGCTCTATCCCCCAATCTTTTGTGGACTTCATAACCCCATCAATGATATCAACACCTGAAATATGACAATAATATGATTAAAGTCAAGAAATAATTAGTAATAATTAATTAATTAATATATAGATATATTTACAAACAAGTGAACAACATTACCAGTATGTGGAGGAGGAATAGGCATGAAACTAAGTACACGCTTTTGAAGTTGCCAATTTGAATCAACAAAGTGTCCAGTGACACACATATATGAAATCTTTTGCACCTTAGACTTCCAAATATCAGTGGTCAATGATATCTTATTGATGGTTCTTAACAGTAATTGTAACTTTTTCTTCTCTATTTCATAAACAGTAATAACATCATTCCTTGCCATGGCACGAGAGAGTTTCTCAAATTGTGGAAGATTAGCTTTGAACATAAAAGTAAATCCATAATTTTCCACAACATTTAACGGTTGCTCGTTCAACAGAATCCAATGAGCAATAACTTCTCTTTGCTTCATATGATCATATTTACCATCTGACAAAAGAGGTGTCTCAAACTTGGATTTTGCATTATGAAATTGCAAGGTTTTTTGATTTTTTGAATGAAGCTTCTTTTGTGTACACCTATTCAAATGGTTCCAAAGATGAGTTGTTGTAGAAGACGCTGACTTAGAAAGGAGTGTTTTACAATGTATACATTGTAGCTTTATACTTCCATCCTTTGCAGTAACTTCATTAAAATCAACGTAGGCTTTTGATACCCTCTTTCTTTTCTTCCTTTGAAATTGGTCTTGATCATCATTCTTTTCACATTCTTTCTCATCATCACCTTTTTCATCTCCAACATCTATATTTTCATTTTGTACACCATCATCATTAACCCCCACATTAACATCCAAGTCGTGTACATTATCCCCTCCATCATTAACTTCATTAAAATCAACATAATTGATTTCCTGAAAAAGTTTAGAAGCATTCACTAAAGTTTAGACAAGGAAACAAATTCCAACTACAAGTACAAGGGCAATAAAAATGATAGCTATTCAATTACTTATTCTAAGACCATATATTGAGAAAAACTATGAAAATTTAGATAATTACCTCATCCACCTCATATTCTCTAACTTCATGTCCTTGTGTTTGCTTTTGCTCATTTCCTTGTGCTTGCTCATTTCTTTGTGCTTGAATTTGCTCATTTCCTTGTGCTTGCTCATTTCTTTGTGCTTGTGTTTGCTCATTTCCTTGTGATGGCTCATTTAGATTTGAAGATTTCATAGTCACAAAGAATAATCTACTGCCTAAATAAATCTGCCCACAAATTCAATAATCACTTTTTGAGTACTACAATAATATAAATTAAATAATTTTCAAATTCAATTCACAATTACTAAATGCATCATAATCCAATGGAACATGGATTTAAATGAATAGGCCTAATTATATGGATATTACTCTTAATACTACGGAATAATCTACGTGGCACTGAGAACCCAAAAAACAAGTGTATATACTGTATACTCCCCCAAATCATTTGTAAGAAAGGAGATTCCTTTACAACTTCATATTACTGTATTGGATAAGTAAGCATTAAACAAAAAACAAGTGCATATATTGTATAACTTTCACTGTCAAAGTTGTTCGGAGACACAGAACCAAGCTGTTCAGTTTAACTTTCTTTGTCAAAAAAATGGTTGAAAAAAATAACATGTACACAAATAAAAAAATAACAAATAATTAACATTTATACTTACTGGTTACTGCGCCGGAGAAGAAGCACCGTGGACACCTCGCACCAGAGAAGTTGCCGGAGAAAACAAAAGGAAGAGTGTTGTGCTGTCGTCATAAGTTGTCGTCCTACGCCGGAGGAAACAGAGAAGCACCGCCCTTGTTGCCCTACGTTGCTGGAACCGTGTCCTTGCCGTCCATCGCTGCTGGAACCGTCACAGAGATCAAGAGTGGAGGCGTTGGAGCTTCTCTGGCGCGGAACCTTCACAGATCTGGAGATTGGAGTTCAGGACTGCAGGCGTTCTCCGTTCTTCTCCGTTGTTCCGCCGAAGAGAGTCGTAGGGACTCGTAGCCACGGTTTTTGGAGTTGGAGGGATAAGCGTTAGACAGCTAGGGTTTTGCTTTAGTTTTAGTACTAATAATCTAATATAAAATATATAAAATATTATATATTATATAAAATTATATATTCGAATATATTCGAATATTATTCGAATCGAATATTTTCATATTTGTATTCGGATTCGAATAATATTCGAATCAGTATAAGTATTCGAATTCGGATTCGAATTCGACTATCAATTCGAATTCGAATCGAGATATTCGAATTCGAATCACAAATTGAATTCAAATTATTTGATTCGTTTACATCCCTACTATCCAGGCAACAACTTAGGCACGCCTCTTAGTAGTTTTATTTGCGTTACGAAAGGTTAGATTACTTTAATAAATATTAGATTTATATATTTAGTTAAAATTAGGGTATGTAGTATAAAAATATTTGGTTTAGGAGTTATTTTTTATGTTATAACTATTTTTTAATACCCTTAACATATTTTAATTTATTTTAATAAATTTTGAAATTTAAATAAATAAGACAATGATAACATATATAAGTACATAATTTTAAAATAATTAACTAAGAATTTGAACTTGATAACTTTAATTTATAAGCTATGACATAATAAAAATAAAATAAAATATATATTTACAAAAATAATTAAATATGATACATATAATATGCTAATATAAAATATATTTTATATAATAATTAGAATTAAATGACAACAAATAGTAAATATGCATGAAAATGTTATATAGCCCAATAATTGTGAAGAAATCACGTTCTTTTCAAATTTTAATGTGAAGGGTAAGAGATACCTTCTAATTTTGTAGGTAATCTCGAACTCTATTACAATGTTGTATTCTTCTACTGAGGCTTGAACTTACAACCTCCCATATGGGAGTCCAACCCGAGTGCCATATGAGCACAAGGTGCTTAGCAATGTGTATAGTGTATTTAGTTAAAGTTATATAACATTACGCATGTAATTTGAGTATGATGTTGTTATATCATATTGATACTGTAAATATTCTCAGGTATACGTATTGGAATACAAATTTATATATTAGTTATATATGGTATAGTAGCTCGGGTAGTTATACCAAGGGTTTGAGGTTCCTGAACATGCAAGTATTCTAGAGAGAGATTTAGAAAAGTCCTACAAACATTTAACGTGATATTTATAAGAGTTTGGGTGAGACATGCCGGGAAGTCGGTATGTACGACACGTATCTTCCATGCACTCGGTCGGTCTCGGAGGCTAAGGAATGGCGTCCACATGTAATGAAATATCTAACTAACCAATAGTTAGTTAGTCACACGGCTCAGTTCAAAATGCTATTATCTATATCCATCTTTAAAGACTCATCTCATGAACTCAGGGCCCCGACTGAGCAGTCGGGTCTTCGAACATATAGACTCATTAAGCTACGAAGAAGCTTTGTAATCAGGTCGGATCAGGTGTATCTTCGATTAGGTCAAACTTAGTCATAAAACAACTCTCCCTATGCAGGGAGTCAGTTCCGGTCTGGTGCTCAATACATGAGGGTAAGTAGACTCAGGGTATATTCTCTATCACATATTATTTGGTTTGAATTATGTAATAACTCAATACTTTTATAGTTTTATATTATGAATTCATAGGATTTGAATATAATATTGGAGGTATTGCTCTTAAAAAATATTTTCTCATAATATGACACAATTTGATTAAATTATTTAATATTTAATTAAGAATGTCTGGTTTAACCAACTCATTATATGCGATAAATATAAGTCACATTATTAAAAAAAAAAATTAGAAGGGGCAAATAGTATTATCCAAGTGACATACGTACTCCCATATTAGAGTACCAAACGTGAGCTTAAGGGGTTCTAGATTCTTCGTTTGTTGCCGTGTGATATGGTCGGTGGTCATCCAATCTAGACCGTTGATTTATCCACCATATAACCACGCCTTCGTCCTAACCCTAACCCTCTTTCGTTCTCACACTGAAGGGCAAAGCTCCGAAGGCCTCTCTCTCCTATTCCCTCTGCGATTCGCATCGGTCAGCTTCTCAGCTTTCTCTCTCACTATTTTTATGCGCGATTCTACTCGTATGTTTATTATTTAGCTATAGATCGAACTGATTGGTTGATTATAGTTGCAGATTTTATCTGATTTTGTGAAAGCGATCTGAGAAGGAGAGGAAGATGTTTGGGAGAGCACCGAAGAAGAGCGATAGCACCAAGTACTATGAGATCTTGGGAGTTCCTAAGGATGCTTCCCAAGATGATCTCAAGAAGGCCTACCGTAAAGCCGCCATTAAGAACCACCCCGATAAGGGTGGCGATCCAGAAAAGGTATCAATTTTTTGTTTGATTTTTAATCTTTTGTTTTAATTAGTCATTTTTATGTTCGTTTTCTAGAGCAGCTCGTTCTGGAATTTTGTTGTAGCTTACGTGTCTTGTATGGATCCACTTTCATGCTTTGGGGTTTTTATTGGGTTTTATCCTTTACTCCGTAGACCCCTTAAGCTAATCCTACTTAATAGGAGCAGTCCAATGTTACAATTTGACCCGAACATACCCAAATTAGGAAACTATATCCACAAATTATGTATTTTGTCAATTCTTGGAAGACATTAAACAGGAAATATTGGTGCCACTCACCAAGTAACAAATGTCAGTTTGCAGACAAATAGGAGATCAAGGTGATACTTTTTTTACAATTTTCTTTCTATTCCTACATCTCTGAATCCACCATTTTGTTTCAGCTCACTAGATAGAAAGCACAAAGGTTTAATTTTTTTTCCCCAATATTGTGACCTGCTTGACTACACAGCTTTAATTGTTTTGTGAGTTAGGAACGTTCACATTTTTGTGGCTGACCAATTTAAAATTCACATTCCTAATGTTTCATTAAAAGCAGCTTCTTTGATGTCTAATTGAACTTTCTCCTAATGTCAGTCTAGTTGTGAGCTCTATTTATTGTTTCCAATACAAAATTTATGTTGTTGCTTCTGTATGATTTCTTAAGCTCAGTCAGTCAGTTGTGTAAGTCTTACTTGATCATCATATCAATTACCTGTAATTTAGTCATATAAATGCATTATTGAAGAGTATGAGTGGGCATAAATTGTGATCATTTTGGCAGAAGCCTTTATATTTGCTTCTCAATGAAACTGAAAATTTTGAATGGAAAATTGTTATAAACTTATATTGGTGGAGTATTGAGTGGTTATACTTGTTTCTTGCAGTTCAAGGAGCTTGCTCAAGCTTATGAGGTTCTGAGTGACCCTGAGAAGCGTGAGATTTATGATCAGTATGGTGAAGAAGCCCTCAAGGAAGGAATGGGCAGTGGAGGTGGTATGCATGACCCATTTGACATTTTCCAATCATTCTTCGGAGGCAGTCCATTTGGTGGTATGTCCTGTATATTAATATATTTCACTAATACTGCCTTGTGATCTACTTGCACTTTCTGCAATATTCAGTGTATCTGAATAAACTAATGTATATTTCCTCCAACTTCTTTTGGTTCCAGGTGGTGGGAGCAGCAGAGGCCGTAGGCAACGAAGGGGAGAGGATGTTGTTCACCCTCTTAAAGTTTCTTTGGAAGACCTTTACAATGGGACATCAAAGAAGCTTTCTCTGTCCCGCAATGTTCTATGTGCAAAGTGCAAGGGGTAAATGTTTCATCCAATCTTGTTTAGGTATATGTGTTTATGTTATTTAGTTATCTTATCTAGTGATCGGCTCTGTCCTTTCAGGAAAGGGTCTAAATCGGGTGCTTCACTGAAATGTTCTGGTTGTCAAGGGTCTGGGATGAAAGTTTCTATCAGACACCTTGGCCCATCTATGATTCAGCAGATGCAGCACCCTTGCAATGAGTGTAAGGGTACTGGTGAGACTATTAATGACAAAGACAGGTGCCCTCAATGCAAGGGAGAGAAGGTTGTGCAGGAGAAGAAGGTTTTGGAAGTTCATGTGGAGAAGGGAATGCAGAATGGTCAAAAGATTACATTCCCTGGAGAGGCTGATGAAACTGTAAGTACATTTGCATAATTTTATTTTCATTATTTTTTGCAATATAGAACTTGTCACTGATATCTGAAAGGATTTTTTGTTCAGCCTGATACTATCACTGGAGACATAGTGTTTATCTTGCAACAGAAGGAGCACCTAAAGTTCAAGCGAAAGGGAGATGACCTCTTTTTTGAGCACACATTGACCCTAACTGAGGCCCTTTGTGGTTTCCAATATATCTTAACACACCTAGATAATAGGCAGCTCCTCATTAAGTCACAACCTGGAGAGGTTGTTAAGCCCGGTAAGTCCTCCTACCTAGCAAGGAATGGTTTCTGATTGCTGTGTTTTATGAAGAAGTCGACTTTATATAACAAGAAATGTTGCCACTGGATTTTCGCCTTCCTGTGTTGTATTTTTTTTAGTATGATTTCAATGGGCTCTATATTGTGTTGCTTATCCTTCTTAGAGTTTATGTTCCTGTAACTGTCTTTTGATGGTGCTGATATCTATGTTGCAGATCAATTTAAGGCAATAAATGACGAAGGCATGCCGATGTACCAGAAGCCGTTTATGAGAGGGAAGCTTTATATCCACTTCACTGTTGATTTCCCTGAATCAATGTCCCCTGACCAATGCAAAGCTCTTGAGGCTGTGCTGCCCCCAAGGCCTTCAAAGCAAATTACTGATATGGAATTGGATGAGTGTGAGGAGACCACTCTGCATGATGTAAACATTGAAGAAGAGATGCGCAGGAAGCAGCAGCAGCAAGCACAGGAGGCATACGATGAAGACGAAGATATGCCTGGTGGGGCGCAGAGGGTGCAGTGCGCACAGCAATGATTTGGTAATATTTTAATAGGAAAGACGTAGTCCATAAGTGTTCTAGTGCCACCATTTGCTCGGGGGGTTCACATAGGATCAGTTGAGTTGATGGAGATCTCTAGAAATTTGTCATGTGCTATAGGATTTAGATTTATAGTTTTCATGGTTTGGCAAATTTCATCCGCAGCACAAACTGATAATGAAGCCAAATTTATTGCTTTAAAATTTTTTTTCAAGAGTGCCTAAAAGTTGCATTGATGTGTGCCTCAACAATGTTGTCTGCAGATTTACTTATTTATTTATCCACATTTTGTTGAAATGTTGACAGTTCATATGTGGAGTATTATTTTACCCTTTGATTTTGCATGATTGATAATAGATAATTAATGTGAAAATTGTCAAATATTTATGGATTAGAAGTTTCATCTTCAATGTATCCTTGGGATCTTTGATGAAGGTATTAACTCAGGTAGTCAGTCTCACAGATCCGAATGCAGGACCCTTTGTACCTTCCACAGGCTGTTTTATTTATTTATATATAAATTAATGATGCAAAATTGTTGACATAATAAGCATGGCTAATTGGCTGTACTTAAATAGGTTGGATAAATCATTTTTTTTGTCAGATCACGATGATCTGAGCAGGCCTTAACTATAGGAGGCATCCCGTTTTTATTGGGCAGATCTTAATTATAGGAGGCACCCTGTTTACATTGGGCCGGTCTAATTAAGGAGCACTATAGGAGGTGCCCTGTTTACATCGGGCCGATCTAATTAAGGAGCACTATAGGAGGCGCCCCGTTTGCACTGGACCGATCTACAGGGCATCTGACTGATCTAATTAAGGAGCGAGTGCTGATTAGATTGGTTTTTTCATCATTATATTTTTATTAGGTTTAAGTCAACAGAGTTAAATGCTTAATTAGCTATTAACACCAAATCTTACCTCCACTGGTTTGTTCTGCCGTTTAGCTCTATCTTCCCTACTTTTGGAGTATGCGTTTCCACTTGGCATACCCCCCACGAGCGCATGTTAAACTAAATATTTTAAAGTAAATCACTCATCTTTTTTTGGGTTGAAAAAGAATTACTACTAGTCCCTGATGGTTAAGTATGAGAATTATGTTCCCATCACAGTGATTTTTGCACGGACTTAATCCAGAAAATGTGGGCTTAACTAAGAAAATGTTAATTTGAAGTATGAAAATCATGTTCCACTAACTTAACTAGGTCTAGAATTACTCATCTTCCATTCTTCCAAAAGGCTGAACCCCAACTTTAAGGGTCCTCGATCCGATATAGCATTTGAGAGGATGTAAATTATGGTAACTCAACTGAAAATGAACCACATAGGCTAAAGCTCTAGTCATTCTTCTAAACTTCCACCTCTATGACTAGTTGAGCTGCTCGGAAAATGACAAATGCAAGTTTCAACTTTAGAGATTCTTTGTTCTTTATGATCGAGTTGCTTGAGGTTTCTGTCTCTACTTTTATACTTTGATTTGTTTATAAATTATAATAATATTATTATATATAATAACGCTCCTACAGGGCCCCTATACGGCTATACATTACCTTCCTAGCTAAATGACTACCCTGATACCATCATCTTCTACCCTTCTACTTTATTATATCAACTTCAATATAATCCATTTCCCTTTCACCACACCTCCAAAACCCATCATCTTTTCTCCACGTTTCCCCACCTTCATCCCCTGTTTTTTTCCCCAGAAAACTGCAAAACACAGACATATATGATGGATAACAACACAATGGTCGGCGGTGATTCCGGGGATGATTTAGGAGAGCAGCGGAGTTCCGGTGGTTTTGGGTACAGCATTGGGTTCTCCGTAGGAATCCTTTTAATCCTCGTACTCGTCACTTACTTCTCCTACGTTTGCGTTAAAGCTCGCCCGGGAAACGCCTCGCGTAGTAGACGCGCCGTCACGGCAGCGGAGGATGACGATGATGAGCGGATGAGCAGGCGGCGGCTCGGCCTTGACGAAGCTACGCTGGAGAGCTACCCGAAGCTTGTTTATTCGCAGGCGAAACAGCATGAAGGGGATTCCGCCATTTCTTCTTCTTCAGGGTGTTCTATCTGCTTAGCAGATTATAAGGATGCTGATATTCTCAGGCTTTTACCTGACTGTGGCCATCTTTTCCATTCCAAATGCGTTGATCCTTGGCTCAGGCTTCGCCCTACTTGCCCCATTTGTCGAAACTCTCCCCTCCCCTCTCCTCTCCTAAGGTAAGATTAGACGTTTCTATTTTTCTTTTATTTGTTTAAGGTAAGTTTGTGATTATCAGTAGCTTAGCTTTCCTGATGGTGATGATCAAGTAGGTAGGTGGGTAGATTAGGATTCAAGAAAATATATATATATTTTTTTCTTTGGAATTGTGTGTGTATACTCAAGATTGGATTAGTTTAATCCTTCAGTTGTCACCATGTGGATAGTTTATTATTGTGAATATAATGCATCCAGAAAATGATGATGCTACATGGATAAGTAGTCATGCATGATGATTAATTCTTTGCCAGAACACAGCTAATTCAATCAACATATTAATGATTAGTTTCTTCGAGGAACAATCATATCCTAGCTTTGTCCCTCAGCTCCTAATTATTTAATGATGATATATCAACTCATATAATGTTTGGAAAAAAATAAAAATTTTGGTTACTCAATTATAAGGTATAATAGATTGATTATCTGTGTTGAAAATGTTTGAAAAAGTATAGAACAGATACTACCTTGTAAAGAATCACGAGTATTTCAAAAAAAAAAAGACTGAACTTTTGATCTCTAAAATAAAACAAAAGTGGTGTTTTTGGTCCATATTTATTAAAGAAGTACACTAATAAATTTACAACTTAAATTTTTACAGGTAACATCCTGGTTTACCCAGCATTAATGATATTTTTCACTCTAATTGTGTGTGATATACAACTTAGAGTGCTAAAAGTATCACTTTAGGGTCAAACAAAAAAAACAAAGGCATCAATATTATTCAAGGGATTAATTAAGCTAAGGTCACTATATATATATTCAAATTGAAGAATAAAAAATACCGTGTTTACTATAACGTAACAATATATCTTATGATAAGGTCGGTTGATTGATGTAATCAAGGAAGAAGAAAAATGATGGAGAAGTGATATCAAATATTGACATAGTATGTTTAATTTGGACATACAATCATTTTTCTTCAATCAGGGTGGAGGTGATTTGAATTGCCTACCAACCAGAAGAAATATACATGTGAAGAAAATGAAATCCTGAAGACAAATTTGCAAGAAATGGTAGACTTATGAGGCTAAATTATTATCCTTAAAAAAATGAGGCTAAATTATTCAGATAATGTTGAATGCATTATATTGAGCTGGCAAAACAGACAAGTGGATGGCTTTATTGGCTTTTGCTTCTAATCATCTAACAATTACATTTAACTTCCATTCTTTACTACACCAAATTACAATTAACAGAACACATTTTTTTTTAATTTTTTTTTTTTTTTAAAAAAAGCCATGAGTTTTCAAGCATATATATAAGCCAGTTGAAGCAGAACTACCAGTAACTTCCAAACTCTCCAAAATTTCACCACTTGAGCTTCTCTGGGAAGTACTGCAATATAATCACAAATTTTACAATTCAGTAAAAACAATTCAAGAGTGAAGTGGCAATTAATTGTGAAAGTATAGTAAAAATGTCGTTTCAATTCCAAAATTCACCTTCTTAATGAGAGACTCATAGTATGGCTTCACCTTCTCCACATCAATCCTCTCTTTGCTCTTGCTGTACAGATCATACTCGCTACACACACAAAACAACAATCCATTTAATTAAAGGCAGCTAGGCAAAAAGAAAAAGAAAATATAATAATGCAAATCGAAAGCATTTAATTAATTACTTGAAAATGTTGACCCATTTGAGATTCTCACGGTCCTCATCATTCATCAAGTGGGTGTATGCTCCACACTTGTGCAGAGCTTCATATAACAAAACACCATTATATATATTACTACTCACAAATACAAAACACCATGCATGTTACAGATCGAATGGGACCGGCCGGGAGAAAATTAAATACTTACGATAAAAAGAATGATATCTAATGATAAACAGCCCAGCATTTGGTAGGGTGGTCTTGTTTTCCTTAGCCATCTACAATAAGTAAAACTCAAATCCATTACATAAACATATGTGCACGTGCCGTTCTGGAAATTAAAATGAGGAAAAAAGAGTTGAGTTTACCAAGTACATATAGTCATCATGTCCCCAAGACATCAACACATTATTCAGCCCACATCCCTCAGAATACACCCCATTCTTGGTGTTGTAAAGAGGGTTATTATAATCAGGATTCTCCTTGAAGAACTGCAATATCAAATTATATATATGCATGAACACTTTAGTTTAGTTTCAGGACGTACTGTAATCAAAGCTAGATCGAGAAAAGTCGGGTTACATTAATAACAAACCTCTGAATGAACAATAATGGACTCATCAAATGCACAGCCAAGAGGGAATGTGTCACCTAAAAATATAATGTTTGAAGCTAGATTAGAAAATCATAAAAACTTCCAACTTTTTGTGTTGAGAGATGAGATGAGATAGCTCACCAACAACAGACCACTGAGGAAGCCCTCCAAATTTTGGTAGCAGCAGAACTTTCCCAAGATCTAAACACATCAAAAACCACATTTTTAAAAATCTAGCTAGACTGCATTATATTTTAGATTTTTAGCCTTCACATTAATTAGTTTAAATTATGAATTGAAAACAAACCATGGATAAGTGCAGTCAAGTGGAGCCAATCCTCATTAGGATAGTCTTTCCTGATGGCTTCAGCAGTTTGCAACAAATGCTCGATCTGGGGCTCATCAAGATCTGGATCACTCTCATCCACAACCTCATTCAGAAGCTCACAGCATTCCCATATGCTCATCTCCACCCGATCCAGCTTCCTATACTTCTCCCTCATTTCTTTCACCTACATTTAATTAATTTTCATCATATAATCAATCATTAAAACTCATTTTCTTTCAACTTATCCAGATTGCATATGTTACTAAAAACATCTTACTTACATAATCATAGGTTTGGTTAATGTGCATCTGCCGATAGACCTCCTTAACGCTCTCCTTTCTTTCAGTGTCTGCACTATAATCCCTGCATGCAAATAATCCAGTGAACATAAAACAACCTTCAATTCGATTCCATACATTATATTGGTAATTTCATCTTGGAATTCAGAAATCTCAATCCAAAGATAGCTGACCTGAACGTGTTCCCAAAAGCATTGCTTTCAGGCGCAATGAAGCCACCATCTTCCACCTTCTTTGCCACTGCAAATCCACCCAAAATCACTTAGTTTCTAAATAATTATTGCACCATATATAAACTAATATATGCATGCATGCATGGTGTAGTAAACCGTTGGTGCAATGTTGAGATTAATGATCACAATAAACGATAACAATGACATGCATAAAGTAAAGAAGACAATATTTTCGTGATGATAATGGTAACACATAAACATGTAAATTTACAAAATTACTCATGAACATATGAAACATACACTACAATCAGACACTATACCTTTCTCCTGAATTCCCTTCAAACTAAAACAAAGAACAATGGAAATTAAAGTTGGTATTCACATCCATTCGCCAAAAGAAATTATTTTTCTAAAAGAATCTGGGAAAATGAAATAGATACCAGGCTGAGGTTGCTGAACGGGCATTGTCATCTTGGCAGCACAAATTAAAGACCCTTTGCTAATTAATATGATGATTATGGCGCCCTTGGGGTTGGGCCCTTGGGGATTCAACCTTTATTTTGGGAAAAAATGATTGTAGATGACTTGATGTTGTGCAGACAAAGATTGAGATGGTTGGGTTTTATATGAAATATAATGATGTTATGTCTATTAATGATGTGAGGTGAATATTGAGCAACCCATAACAGTAGCTTAATTATGGGTGCTTTTGGCACTTGGCAGTATTATAATCAAGATTTTAAGATTTTTCCAATATTTTTTTTAATGCATCAAATATCTATTATTTATTTATTCCATTCATTTTCTTTGAAAATTTCCATATCATCAGTAAATTCTTTGAAAATTTAAGAGAAAAATGAAAGAATCCATGGACTTATAAAGCTAGATTAATCAAATAGTATTAGACAAGTGGGAGATTCTAAATGCTAAACTTCGAAATTATATATAAATAGAGTTTATTCATTGTCATTGTGACATAGGTTGGTGAACGAGGTTTGACCAGTTCATAGCATTAACTACGGGCCGGAGAAGTCTCTGGCACCGGTGACGACGGCGAAGACTTGGGCAGCTGGACAGTAACATTAAGTTTCTGGCCTAGTGAACAATAGTTCAAGACACTGCAAATGTAGTAAAAGATTCCTGGTTCTCTGAGGTTAATGGTCACTGGACCATCATCTTTGAAAGCTTGGTAGGGCTGATTGGCTGTGCAGTCATCATACTCTCTTTTTGATACTTGCATCACATTGTAAAACACTTCATCAAACTCAAACACTGCAACCCATACAAACAAAACCAAATCTTATTTCCTTTCACGCGTTCCAAAATATACTCAGTTTCTATAAAGATTAGGATGGAGTGATGGGATTCGAATATAAATTTATTGTTGAGAAAGAACAGTTTCAGTCATGGACTTATAAATCATGAAAATGACAAATTCACTTAAATTTGAGAGAGAGAGAGAGAGAGGGAGAGAATATACAAAGAGTGTCTCCAGGTTGGAAAAGTTGGGAAGATGACCAATTACTATAGAAGTCATTGTTGGGTGGAATTGTCCAATGAGAGTCATCTCCCACCATGTGTTGCACTGCAAATGATTGATACTTCAAAGCAATCACCACTACAACTACAACCACAAATTTGCACCTTTGCATTCCCATTCTTGCTTTGCTCTCATCCGTAGATTTTGAAAGTGGGTTTTGTGGGCAATTTGTAGGGTTAACCACAAAATCAAGAAATGGAGCCCGCAACAGGCAACTAAGTTGGTTTCTGGATAGTAAATTGTGGCAACCGCACGGAAGTGGGAGTTACACCGAACGCGGTGGGCCCCTTATGGGCACTGGGCTGTTGAGTAACCGTGATTTACACATCCACTATCCTGTTAGGTCGGGGTGTGGGAGTCCTAGGGCGAGGAAATTTCGTCTTTTATGAGAAAGAAAATGAAGGGATGGATGGATGTAACTGTTTATCCACACTTGGGAAGTGGAAATATGGAAGTTGTAACGTTTGTACAGTTACAAGAACTAGAATGGAAAGCCAAACCAGATTTTACTCTTACCAAAATTTAATCTCAAACAGGAAAAATTGTCAACCAAACAAGGAAGCTTCTTATGTATGTTCTATGGAGAAAGAAAGAGATGCCCTTTAGAGAAAAAGGTTATATCTCACAAGTGGGCTTATCCAGTCTAAGATCATATATGTAAAAACACTAAAAATAGAATGAAAAAGGGGATAGGGGGTTAGTAATGTACTCATATACTCTCATGTACTAATCCTAATTCTGCAATAATGTTCCCTAGAGATCAGAACTTGGTTCTACTCCTCCATCACAGAGTGAAAGTAGTTTGTAATTCGTATAATGGAATTCGATTTGAAGCCGCTGATGAAGGGGCATCGATGGCCTCAAACCCTTCTTAAGATCAACTTGTAATTCTCGAATAGGGATTGCTGCCAAGAAACTTTTAATGTACTCTTTGCACGAGTCTTTGCCTCTGCATACCATTGATTCTTGCTCGTTATTGTCAGGCTCGCCCCCCATAGTCGATTCTTCGTTGTTTGTCTTGGGGGCGTTGACGATATTATCCTCAGTTTTAGCACTAGCAGATGAGTCTTCTGTCGGGGGTTGAGTCTCGTTAGCCACCAGTGAAATTGTAGTGTCTCTGTCGAACCTGAGGATAAAGGCTTGGTTGCAGCCCTCGTAGAGCCTCTCGCCCAATGTGTCGATGATGTAGTATGCATCTTGCTCGACTTTCAGCACAAAGAAGTGGTCGTTCCAGCTTACAATGTAGATCGAAGCATCACGAGTGGTGGGTTTAGAGATCTCGTCCCAAATGTTGTCGAAAGACATAGCCCCTTTGAGGAAATCAAACCCGTCGTCTTCGATTCCTTCCGGATGGAAGAACCCGATGAAGGACTTTTGTGGGGCTACTGAAAGCGGGCTGACTTTGGCCTCGAGGACTGTCTCGAGATCGAAATGCTTGTCGGGAAAACGTTCCCTATAGCTCTCGTTTTCGCAGAGCTTCCTCCACTCCAGAGAGCCCTCGTGAATCAGGCTGTCGAGTTGGGATTTGATGGGCATCTCGTCACGATTGGAGTGAAACCAATCAGCAATCGCGACAACTAGAGATGTACACGCACTTTCTCCCGCTGCCCGCTCACTACGTTGGTCAATAGACGCAAAGAAAACCTCGGCCCTCAGCTTCATTTGTCCATCGCGGCTTATGATCTCTTTAGCCTCCCAGCTACCCACAGCAAAGTTGTCATCCCCGAATTCAGAGACAGAAGACCGACTTATGGTCGTACCATCTTCAGTTCTCCACTGTAACAAAAACAATAAAAACATCGTTAACGTTTGACACATTATACTAGCCATTTATGTTCTCAACTACCAAGAAGTTCGTTAAACCAATATAAAGGAACATACCCCATGAGAGGAATCATCAGAGGAACTAAGCTGTCGTCGATCAAAATCAATATCATCACCGCCTTCCTCTCCATAGTGTTTCTTCAATAACGGTTCTCCTTTGCGTTTAGGAGATCTTAAGTTCAACTTCCTCTTCCCCCAGGGAAGAATTTTGCGTTTTGAGCTCTGCTGGATAGATTGATCAACCACCAACCCAGTTCTATCCTCGAGATAAACACACCCTGCATCCGATTTCCGATGGCTATAGTAAATCCAATCCCCATTTTCACTACTCGCATGATTCGCAAAAGCCAGCGTCTCATAACTCACCGTCTTCCTCATAACGCTACCCTCCTTTCCTTCCTCCGATTCCCCGTCTTCCGAGTCACTTAGCGAGTCCGTGTCTACAGGGTAATTGTACTCGGTATCACAACTTCGAACCGAGCACTTTCCATCGCTCCCCTCATCCTCCCGATACGCCTTCTTGCGCCCTCGAACAGATAATGCCTTGAAAATCCCAACTTTACCAAGACTCGCTCTCAATGGAGAACCATCATTTCTGTCTTTTGACAAAAATTCTCCACACGTAGGATACATTGGACGTGATATATCAAACTTCTGACCCGTTTCTAAACCTTCACGATCATTTCCCAGTTCCACAAGGTTAAGAGACAACTGCAGCATGTATGAAACAACGTTATTCATAAACCATATACAATATAAACATTAAACAGAAAACATAACCAACATAGAACAGATAGTGTTTATTGTGCTTACGCAAAGTAAAGGACCGACTGCACTGCTGAACCAATCAAGCGGAATGTTGATTTCAACGTCTTTTTCTTTAGATACTGAAGCAAAGTCCGAAAGGTTTAATGTTCCGGTGGCAATAGTAGGCACCTTGTTTGTCGGTCCCTTGCTTAAGCCCTACGATATATAAACAGTGAAAGAGTGTTACCTCATAATTATTCACTAATCCGAATTAATAATGGAAGTATAAAAGTAAAAACTTCAGAAATCAGATTACATATGTTAAATGGTAGGTAATTAAAAATTACAAAAGGATTAATTCTTCTTCATTTTGGATCAGAATTCGGGAACACAATTAGACCATATTTGATACCAGTATCTGCAGAATATGCTTGCTGCCATCACCTCAACCCTTATTATTTCGCTTAAAAAGTAACAAAAGATACAAGATAAATGCTCCAATAAAGTGGAGATATAGAGGAATATTCCATTGAAGGAATTTTCCAAACTATGAACCGCGATTATTGAGGTTAGAGCAAATGAAATTGATAGAATAGGTGTCATCTCTATCAATATTACATCACCATTACTGATGACCACAAGCTCCTGAGGTGGGTCCAATCGCATAAATATAATCATTTCATACCAGAAAGCTAAAATTCTTTTGACTAGCAGAACGTGGGAATAACAGTACTGCCCAATGCTAAAGCACAATCAAACTACAAGTAAGATATGCACCAGAATCACTAGAAAAGGCATGCTGGGTAAAAAAGCCAAAAAGGGTTATAATGGTAACTGCTTTATCACTACATGTAGAGCCACTGTGAATCTTTTGGTCTGTGGTAACAAAAATTCACCATCATTCTTGATAATCAAGATCAGGTTAAATAGTTTAGTGCTAGCTCTTGGATTATTATCCTCAAGGTCTTTATGACAAATTGACAATATACCCATTGGATTGACTTTGGGAAAGCTGAATATTTTCTTGTCTGCTAATTTTCCCAGAAAAAGACATTGGGGTACAGAGATGAAAAAGCCAAAATCCAAGGGAGTTCTGTGCTCACTCACAAATTTCCAGGAATATTTGTACTTTCTGAATCGCAAAATAACACTTATGAAGCCCTTTCCACTTTTAATTGCTAAATATGTAAGGATTACTGAAGATTGTTGTTCATTTCATATAAAAATTTAACAGATTTTAGTTCAGTTATATCAGATAGAAAGCCAAAAAGGCAAAATCTTCCCATGTTTCACAGCAATAAAAAACAATGCAACAGCAGAAACAACAAAGCAAGACCATAAAGCTGAACAAACAAAAGATGAAACATCTTTTGTGTGTAAAAAAGAGATGAAAGGCAGTTGAATTAGAAACTCACATTGAATAGAGAAAAGGCAACCTCCCAAGGAAGAAAATCATCATCTTTGTAAGCAGAGAAGTTGCATTCACACTTAAACTCCTCTTCCCACTGAACAACCCCATCCTCCTTGATCAAAGAACCCTCCTTTGTGAAATTCCTCCTCACTCTCCTCCTCAGAGAGTTCAAGGCCAAAGGATTCACCTTTGCTGACCCCTTCCACCTGATCTCAACAACCAACCTTTCAAAATCTTGAAAATCCCCAAGGCTCTCCACTTCTTCAGATGATATGCTCAGACCCTTTAGGCAGCCAACAACAATCTTGGCCTCGAATTTCTTGGAGGATAACGGAGGCCACGGCCTCCACTTCATCATCTTCACCACCATCTTGTTCTAACAAGTTCAATAAAAAAAAAAAACTTCAACCAAACCAAACTAACAATACAGTAAAAAGGGTTAAAAGGGTCAGCTTTTCTGAATGAATTGCAGGTGCATATGAGTAAGGCTCCCTCTCTCCCTCCCTCTTTCACCCTCTACCTAAACATATATGTATAAAATGAGATAAACAAAGAACAGAAACGAGAGCTTTCGAAGGAATTAGGTGCTGGGTATAAAAAAAATCCGAGCTTTTGGAACAAAAGAGAAGAGAGAATGGAGAAACAGAGGGAAGAAAACCAGAAAGGGAGTTTGGAGAGATAGAGCCGGCAGTGTCTAAACACCTTAACGTCTCTATTTCTACTAGGAAGATGTTTGTCACTCCTGGTTTTCCGGGCCTACTATTTCTCTCTCTATCCTCTCTCCTCTTTCTTTTACAATCCTTTTTTGGTCAATTTCTTTAAAGATTCGCTTTTTATGGGAGGTAATTGTAAGGAAAAAAAATTGTTAAATTTATCATCTAAAATCATCCCTGAAGTAAAGAAATCGCCTTTTATGGGAGGTAAATTGTAAGGGGAAAAAATTGTTAAATTTATCATCTAAAATCATCCCTAAAGTATGGATGAGATAATGGGCGTTTCACTTAATAAATAGTCATACTTATGCACTCAATACGAAAATAATTAGACAATATTAAAAGATACAATACAAATATACATAAGTAGAAGAGTTATAATAGGTCTAGAACTAAGAGAGTCCTAATCGTTTCGGTGTATAATTTTAACGGGTTGATCGAAGAAATTTGTGGTTAAATAATTTTTTAATTATTTAAAGTTATTTTCTAATCTTTATTCTCAAGCAAGACAATATTATTTGAAAAAATAAAATTTTACAACTTTTTTGTAGATTGGTGAACTTTTTTTTTCTTTCTACGTATTAATAGATTTCATAAAATAATAAAATATAAAAAATATTTTAATAGGTCTGCGAATATTAGTTCTTTTTTTTTTTTTTTGAAAATGCGAATATTAGTTCAGTATGTAAAAGAAATACAAAAAATAAAATGTTAAAAATGATTTGAGCAAAACAAATATAGGAGGGCTCAAATGTAACATTGTGCAATGAGAAATGTTATCTATGCTAATTCTTTATATACAATTTTATAAAGAGTAAATACCTAAAATGGTCCCTTGACTATAGCTAAATTCACAAATTGGTCATCGACTTTCAATTTCAACCAATTATGTCTTTAACTTTGTAATTTTGACATGATTTGGTCCTCTATCTATTTGACCGTTTGTTAACCGTGATCGACGATCTCCAGAAGAACCTTCAGTTCTCGTCGGAGCACGTGGAGGCCTCCAGGATGACGTTGCACTGGTTCGGAAACACGTCGTTTTCTTCGCTCTGGTACGAAATCGACTACATTGAATCCAAAGGGAGGATGAAGTAAGGTGACCGGATTTGGTAGATTGCTTTCGGCGGTGGATTTAAATGTAACAGTGCGGTCTGAAAATGCAACTAGAACCTTAAAAAACGGACGATTGACCATGAAATTACATATATATCCTCAAATCACAGTCAACAAACGGTCAAATAGACAGAGGACCAAATTGTGTTAAAATTACAAAGTTAAGGACTTAATTGGTTGAAATTGAAAGTCGAGGACCAATTTGTGAATTTAGCTATAGTCGAGTGACTATTTTGGGTAATTACTCTTTTATAAAATATAATATTGTGAATATATGCACCATTTTTATTTAAATAAAATTAGTTGACCCATCATATATATATATATATATATATATATTGAAAACTAAAGGACTTTTATCATTAAAACAAATGTTCAATACATAATGGAATGGAATCAAGCCAAATTAAAAAATCAGAGTTCAAACGAGTTGTCCTTGTCAGAACATGAGCGACTTTATTCACTGATCTTGAAATGAACTTAATAGACACTTTCGTAGTGTTGTTGGAGCTTTCGACATTCGTTAATGATGCAACCTACGATAAATCTTGTAACGAGCCCGTAAGCAAATTACACACGTGCTGATCCATCATAAATTAATTATATAAAATTAAGTTAAATTGTATAATTTTTAAAAACAAAATTTGGTATATCCTCTTGTTGTTGGTTATTTTTTGCTTTGTGTGGATATACATATACATATACATATACAGATATATATATATATATATATATATATTTTAGGTGTGTATACATATATGCTTAAGATCACGTGAGAAAAAGAGTTATCCTGCGGAAATGCGAATAAATGTGATTAATGACTCTTAAAATAAACATAAGTGATTTCTTCCCAAACATTTAAGCAATTAATATAATAAGAATCCCAGGTTGTCAATGTCATTTTGGGAAGAATGTCATTGACAATTAAATGATTTCTTTAATTATATTAATTGCTTAAAATATTTATACCCTTTTATGGCCAACAGGTTGTCAACTTAAATTATGGGTGAGATTTTCGTCTAAATAAAAGTCAAATTTTACAAGCGTGTTTCGATATGAATCCGGATTAGTTTGGACATAACAAATGTTGTATGAAAATAAATAAATAATTAAATAAGGCAAGGGATTAAAGAATTGAATAAAGTACTTATAAGTTATAACCGATGATAAATAGTGTGTTTGAGCTTGGAAAAAATTTCAGCCGAGTAAGTCAAACAGTTAATTTAATAATTTGAAATTAAAATCGAATACATCGTGAGATCAATTTACTTTAAATAGAAAAATGGTGAACATTTTACTCCAAGGTTGTGAAAATTCAATGTTATTTGGGTGATGATGGAACCACTATCTGATGACCGGTGTGCATTGAATAAATTTCGCTCTAATGTAATAGTCCGTAAACGATACAAGAGGGATATAATATTCACAAAAATCGAACTTGTAATTTTTTTATGCGAGAATCATGCTTCGTTTATTCGATCATTCCTTATGAGACACAAAATCCTATTATCTTCTACTTATTACATGAAGGCATGCTTCCTATATAATTGAGTGTGTTGGGATGGTATTGATATCAATAAGTTTGAGGTTGTATGTACAAAGCTAAGATATGCTGCAACATAATGATATCACAAATTTCGTAAAGGCAAGACATTAATCTTGTGGAAAACAATGAAGACATGCACTCATGAAACGGTCAACATTTTGTAAAGATTAATGTTATGTTATTTTATAAAATACGTGTTATATATCGCAATAAACTTTTTATTAACTTATAATAAAGGTGATTAATTTACAAAATATCCAATGAAAATAAAAAATAATTAATACTGCACCAAATAGTGATAGAAAAAGTAACATTTTTTTTAATATTAAAAAAGAAATATAATGAGTTTAGTGGGGTATATTATAGTTTTTAGTATATATATTATTATATTTAATTGGTTTGTTATTAGTTATTTGCTTAGGTGAGTCCGACACTTTAAACTGACACGAAAGATGTTTGTAACATTATTGACAGGTCGATTAGTTACCCAACAAAAAAATAAAAACGTAAGGAATTGGAATGTGAGTCATTGTTTGTTGCCACTCCATTTCTTTTCCTTTTAAATCATAATTTCAATTCTTAGAACGTCCCCACATGTCACATATATATAGAATTGTGATTTATTATTCTTAGTGGCTGATTTATAATTTTTTTAGATAAGAAAAATCTATAATTACTATTTGATGGTGTTTACAAATTACACATGAGAGATAAATCACATTAGAAAGATTCTATGTAAATGACTCAACTGAGAGAGTATTAAAAATAATCAAACTCATAACCTTTTAGTATCAATTTATTAATCAATTGACTTATAAAAATACTTTGTGATTAATTAGGTATGAATTGATCACCAGGATTATGTGGTCCAATGGTACTCGGGTTGGACTTCCATTTGGAAAATTATGAGTTCAAGCCTCAGTGGAAGCGTTATTGGTTCTTTACGTTTCAATAAGTTGAGAAAGTATATGAACAGATACTACAATGTAATAGAGCCAGTAAAGGTATGAATTGATCAATTTATTATAAATATATTAATATAGGAGTCATGCACTCATGTTACACTTTTACAAAAATCACTAAATAATAGTCATTATACGTATCATTATTTTATTAGATATTTTACGTGAATTTTTTTTTTTGTTAACTCATACTATAATTCATTACCATTTTAAGAAAAACATGCGTGAGCGCACACATATATATATATAGGGGAGCGTTCACGTGAGAATACTTCTTTCGGTAATTAAAAAGTATGAATATATCCACATCCACCATCTTGATAAATCAAAGGCTAGGATCTTACCATTATTAAATTCTCAAGTTTGCAATAATTATAAAATGAACGTCGTTCTTAAAAGTTTTCAATAATTATAAAATTGACTCTGTAATTTATTTACTAAAATCTTAATCATTGATGAACTCATAGACGGCTAAGATTAATATGCATTTGAATGCATGACCACACTATCGCATGGGAAGCGCCGATGCAGATTGCACCATTATATATGCATTTTAATGCAGAGTGAATTCCATTTTTGGTCCTACTGTTATAGGGGTCATTTCAATTTTAATCCACTATAATTATTTTTGCCACATTGCATCCACTATTATTAAAAGTGCTCCAGTTTTAGTCCACGAAAACCGTGGACTAAAATTGGAACACTTTTAATAACAGTGGACGCAATGTGACAAAAATAATTATGGTGGACTAACATTGGAAAAGCCCCTATAACAATAGGACCAAAAATGAAATTCACTCTTTTAATGCAGGACCACACTATCGCATGGGAAGCATGATTTCAAAATGAACTTCTACTGAAGTTTGATCTCATGACCTTCTATATGAGAGATGTCATGACATACCATCTGAGCACAAAGTGCTTAACAATTTTTGAGTTTAATAATCTTCTTCTAAAAAAATCTTTTGCATTTTCATTTCCCCCCACATTTTGGATTTTATGTAAAGATGAGAGTGTACACTCGTGCATAATATCTTCTTTGAGTACGGAAATGATTTTTGCACGTTTTTTTTAAAATAAAATGTTTCCATAAATATACTTATAATTTATGAATATACTATTTATTATATGTAAGTGCCGGTAATTTTTTGAGATCTTATCTAATACGAATATGATTAATTTTGATATAAGTGGCGGTGATTTTTTGAGATCTTATCTGATATGAATATGATTAATTTTGATGTAGCGTTGCTTCTTACTTCTTAGTGTATTTGACAGAGTAAACTTGTTGCTTGACTAAAAGAATAAAAATCCATTCATGCAGCATCTAATTATAGTACATATTTATCACATTTTCTATCCATATCTATTTTCTTTTTTGGGTCAAAGCATCTATCCTATCTATTAAATGCTAATAATTGTAAATTAATTACGGTCAATATTTGTATAGTAAGATTTTTCAACCTGAACCCTTCTTCATTAGCTAGATGTCAGGGCACAGACTGAGGGCTACTCGAAATATACTTCGATTTTGACTTCTCTAAACGCCCTGCTCTCTTTTTGTAGTTGGATTGGGGTCAAATGGCTCGGGTCAAAAGTCAATTTAGCAGGTCAACTTTAAGCCTATATAAAAGTCACTTGACCCTTTGTTAAGGGCTCTCCTTTTTTTTTTTTTGGGTTGGGGGGGGGGGGGGGGGAGGGGTGGTCTCTCTCTCTATTAATATCACTTGGGCATTCTACTTCTCTACTTCCTCTCTAGAATATGAAAGAATGAATAAAAATGCCCTTTTATTTAGCTAAAATTTCCCATCTACTCTCTACTGTACATATATTGTTCTACAAACCAAATACATTTTGGCAATTTATGCCATCAATGGCCTTCCTTTCTTATCTTATCTTATAAATAAATAAAATACAAAAAATAAGAAAGACGGCAGTTTTTTTTTTTTTTTATGTAAATTTGATATTGTTTATGGTAACTGAATATCACAAAATCAACAAATTAAATAATAATTACATATTTAGATTATACAATATATTTGATAAGAAGCACATTCAATCAAATTATATATATTTTTTAGTCTCACTTCAATTTTCATTACCTAGTAAACTATAACTACACAACAAAATCAGACTAATTCTCTTCGTGTCGGATAAGATTTAAAGAGTTGAAAAAAACCTACGCCATCTTATCTACACCCTCGGTGGTACAATCAAATTATATAATTAAGTACATAATAAAGCTAAGCCAATTTTAGTTTTAAAAAAAATGTTCTACTTACCTAATCATATAGATTTGCTTAGAAGTGACAAAAGATGCTACTAACAAGTGTTTAACTACGAGTGATTAGCATCCAAAGTATAGTTAATTTAATTAAGAAAAATACGTGTTCAAATAAAAGAAAGAAACTGACAAAAATGACCACTTTGAAAGCAACTTTTGGATATGTGATTTGTGATTTTATTTGGGGGCGGTGTTTGTGGTATTTCAAGTTTGCTTAAATGTTCAGCCAAAAAGAACATATAAGAAAATAGTTGTTTTTTAATATTAAAAAATATTGCTTATTCTAAATGAATTCTTATTATATGTTGCTTTGTGATATTTTTGGATTCTTGTTATTGCATCCATATGCAATAATTTACTATATTCATGTGAATCAATCTTTTTTTTTTGGGACTTCTTTTGCTGATTTCAAGAATGATAAGAAATGTAAACTGCACAACAAAGACACGGTGCAATAGCCTCGACCAAAAAAGATATTAATAAAAATTAAATTCGTAATCTTTTGATATGAAAATCATGCTTCATTTACTTGGTCATCCCATTCAGAACGTGACAGAAATATGTACACTATTAACATCCGACTCATTTCTAGTGTATTACAAGGAATGTTGTATCCCCCTCAATGAGGAACTTGAAGCTTATCCTCTATAAAGGAAAAGAGGAAAATGATCAATCATTTGTGATTGTATTCATTTTTTTTTTTATTAATTTATAGTGAAATCGACTAATTTAAAAATACAAATTTTTTTTTTAATTTATAAATAATGCGCATTGAGAATTAAAAATTAGCAATTTGGAGAATCAATTGTTTTTGTTTATTTATTTACCCTTCTTAAAAAGAAAAAGAAAAAGAAAACATTGATCGAATCCCTTCATGAACCAACTGGCACTTGGAAATGATCAATCTAATTCGTGAAAAGCAATGGTACGTTGGAACCAAGATTTGAGAGTGAAGGGCGGGCCATTTTTTTTTTTTTTTTTTTTTAAATTTTATTTATTTATTTATTTGGGGGTGGGTGGGGGCAATTTTTGTAGTATTTTAATATTCAATATTATATTCGGTATATAATTGGTGGATTACTGGATTAAGTCAATTTTTTTTTTAATCTAATTTAAATATGCACCTTGAACCAAAAGATATTGTATATTGCATATTGTCATGCGATTTATCTTTCATTTTTTTTTAGTTGGGTTTTGCATTCTGAATTCTGACGTATAAAATAAAAAAGAGTGTATATTAAGATTTCAAAGTGTATTTATTATAGATTCAGACTATTTTTTTAATTATAAATTTATAGAGATTTTGATTATATTCTTAATTTACTTTTTTATTTTGTTTAATTTTTTTTTTGTTGGTACTCTAGTTCCTAAAAATTTTAAAAAGAATAATGTTACTTACCCCTTCAAAACTTTTCCTTCCAATCTTCCCTTCTTTACATGATATTTTCTAATTACTAATTAGACAAAAAAATTTTGTGTTAAGTAATGGTGGAATCACTCAATTCATGGACACTAATGATTATAAGTCACATCACGATAATTGAGAGAAATCAATTTAAGAATTGTTATATCTAAATTTAATAAGTGGCAAAAATATGTCATTTTTTAAAATTTTCATAAAGTACTTTACACTAAGAATTTTTTTAAAAAATTTTAGGAAGGACTGCTCTCCTACGCCTGTAGTTCCACCACTAGTGGTAACTATCATTTTTTCTAAAATAAATGATACTTATCAATTTAGCCAACCTCATTATATGTATATATGTCAAATTTATGATAATGTTTTATCTTTCTTTTTTTTCCTCTCAAACTTGACAGCTCTTTTTTAATGCATGTATTTGAAAATTCACAATTCCTTGACCTCAAAAAGCTACTCATTTGATGGCCCAAAAATTTTAGAATTTTGTCAATGGCACATGGCAAAGGGGACCCCCATTGGTTGATCTTATCAGTGAGCACTAAGGCAAGCAAATTGGGGGAAAAAAATATGAAAAAGAAATCTTGTGACACACAAGAATTGACCAGTCTCCATATGGTACTAAAAATATATGATTGAGGACCCAAACAAAAAATAGTTTGCTTTCAATCTTTCCATCAATTTCTCTTTTTTGCATAGGCACTATGTGGGGTTGACATCACACCATAGACTTTTGAATGCCAATTCCCATGAGAGAAAAGCAACAATCATTTCTTGTGGCGCACAGCTTTGCACATTCATTCATTGCCCATTGCTATTGCTCCCCATTTCATATTTGAAATTTAAAACTTTATTTTCTAGTTGACTTGTTACTTATTAGTTACCCTTATTTATTATTGAGTTAATTTTATGTGAACAAAATGATGATGTAGAGTGAAAGGAGACAAGGTGTAAAAGGTACAATTATACAAATTGCTCTACTAGGACGCATGACAGTAAAAAAAAAATAATGTAAAGAGGAGAGAAAGATAAGTTGTAGAATGTACAGATGTTTTACACCTTATCCATCCGGCTGCATGATAGTAAATGAAAAGATGATGCGAAGATGAAAGAGAGACGAGGTGAATATATACCAATGCTCTTCACCTTGTTTACTGGGAACACATGATAGTGACAAACAACTGTCCACCATTTTTTCTGATTAATTATTATTTACAACTCTATAATTATAATCAATACCTATGATTAAAATTGTTCAAAATTTTTACCCCAAACCAGACACAAAATGTTTGTCTAGAGACAAATAACTAAACCACAAATAAAGGTTTTAGACCAAGAAGACAAGTCAATGCCACGCCTATTCCCCTATTGGCATGCAGTTTTAAGGATTGAATCCTAATCATCAATGCCCAACACTATAAATCTATAATTGTCCAATTGCTGTGGTTGTTACCAACAAACCTTTATACAATTTCACGTATTATTTTAATCTTTTTCACTTTCAAGAATTTCCATTTTCTTTGGGAATAAGTGGAGAATATATCACCTATCACCATACCTAGAAAAAATGTAATCTTTGAGAAAGAGCAGCACGTGCACTTGCGAAGTCAAAAAGCATGTCATGTTCTCAACTCATAGTGATTGAAATTTTGAGAAATATCTTAAGGAAAACTTTCTAATCAGTAAAAATTGTTATGCTGACTGCATTATATGTATTTTTTTTTAAGTCAGTTGAATTATTCTTATCTTGTGAGATGAGATATGAATATCAATACAATAAAAAAAAAAAAAAAGATTTCTCAAAATGTCCTGAATTTATGTGCATGACTGTAGTTTCCACCATTGTATGCAGTTTCACAAAGTGTGTTACATTAAACCATTTAAGAATGAATAGAGCCAATCACTTTCAAATCTTGCTCTAAATCTGACTGGAAACTTAAGGGGTTATTGAAAAACCTTAGCCGGACAAAGGAGATGAAGATCCATTCTTGTGGACAGAGTGTACAAATGGAGTGGGAACCTGGGAACTGTAAGGACGAGTGGAGGGCGACACAGAATTGGAGCAATGGCTTTGCTTATTGCTTTCACTTCCTTCCTTTCTTACTTCTTCTAACTGTTGCAATCTTTAGACTCGACTTGCTGTGTCCTCCACTGCCTAATGAGAAGCTCCTTCCATCTCCGATTTCCAGATTATCTGATGCCTGAAACACATACGAATTTTGCTGTGTAGATTGAAATGGATTAGAGAAGCAAGTGTTGAACAAGACAGAGAGGAAGTGGGAGAAAGGGAAACAGCATGATGATGCAGAAGCTTCTGCAGTTGCAGATGACTCAACCATGCTGTCCTCCATATCTGTTGAGCCATTGTTTCCATTTCTTGGTCCAATGGTGGAAACAGAATTTCCCAATGCAGTCTGGGAATTGGAAGTTGATGATACTGATCCAAATGCAAAGCCGGGAGATGGTACAAAAATCAATGGCGTTGCTGCGCCAATGGTGAACTCGGTTGACAAAGGGGAAGAAGAACTCAAGGCAGGAGTTCTTGAAGTTGAACCAAAACTGAATGCATTGGAAGTGACATTGTTGGACGAGGAAGCAATGGAGCCGCCACCAAAACTGAATGCAGTGGGAGTGGTGGTGCTGGAGGAGGAAGTAGTAGAATTGCCACTAAAACTGAAAACACTCCGAGTGGCGGTGTTTCTGTACAAGGAAGCAGTAGAACAACCACCAAAACTGAATACACTCTGAGTGACGTTGCAAGATGAAGAAGCAATAGAATTACCATTAAAACTGTAATCACTGGAAGTGGCATTGCTGGCCGAGAAAGCAATAGAGTTGCCACCAAAACTGAATACATTGGGAGTGGCGGCATTGCTAGATGAGGAAGCAACATAACCGGCACTGAAACTAGCAGTGGCTTTGCTGCACGAGGAAGCAATACAACTGCCACTAAATACACTGGGAATGGCAATGCTGGGCCAGGAAGCAATAGAATTTCCACTAAAACTAAATACACTGGGAGCGCCGTTGCTGAACAAGGAAGCAGTTGAACTGCCACCAAAACTGAATACACTGGGAGTGGTGATGCTAGACGAGGAAGCAAAATCATTGCCACTGAAACTGAATACATTCCGAGTGGCATTGCTAGATGATGAAACAATAGAGTTGCCACTAAAACTGAATATAGTGGGAATGGCATTGCTGTACAAGGAAGAGGCTGAACTGCCACCAGAAGTGAATTCATTGGGACTGTCATTGCTAGATGAGGAAGCAAAAGAATTACCGCTGAAATTGTAAACTCTGGGAGTGACATTGCTGGGCGAGGAAGCAATAGACTTGCCATTACAACTGAATACACTGGGAGTGGCATTGCTGGACAAGGAAGCAATAGAACTTCCACCAAAACTGAATGCACTGGGAGTTGTGATGCTGGATGAGGAAGTAACAAAACTATCACCAGAACAGAACACGACAGGAGTGGCATTGCTGGATGACGACACAGTCAAATTACCATCAAAACTAACAACCCCAGGACTATCCAAAAATTCAACAGTAGTGGCATTGTTAAATGAAGAAGTGGCCAAACTACCATCAAAACGAGATACACCAGGAGTGGATGAAATGTTGTGATCACCTGTATAACTTGAACAAGAGTATGTGTCTATTTCTGCTGTTGAATCATAGGCACAAGAGTATGTGTCCATTTCCCCTATTGAATCATAGTCTGCGTCTAAATCAGATCCCTGATTAGAGAATGACAATGAATACTTACAGCTTCTAGGCGAAGTGGTGCATTCACTTATGTCATTCGTCTCCAGATTTCTATTCATACGAAAGAAAAACAGATGCCCGTCTTTGTCCTGATATATCCCTAGCTGAATTTTGCACTCGCATGCCAGATTTCTTTCAGGAGTATCAAGAAGCACATCTCGTTCTTCGTCTGATCCCTTTTCAGGAGTATCTGCAACCACTTCCAGTTTGTCTCCAAATTCTATGGAGCCTCTAAAGTGGTGTTTCGGTATGTATATCAACCATATATCACCATCCTCAACTTTCCATCCACCACCCATCGCCCAATATTCAAGCAACTCAACATTTGTAGTTTTGTTATTGATAATTACAGAGTGAGCTCCCTGATCAAAAAAACCAAAGATCATTCCTATGAACTCATGCTCGAAAAGCAATGGCATTCGAAGACTTGTGGATGAAGAACATCCAACTCCTTGGAGAAGGCTGATATTCCATTCTAGAAATTCATTGAGGGTGAGGAATATCTCGATAATATCACCTTCAGAATGAGCCTGCAATATATTTAGGAATATAATACATGACATGTATAGCCATCTAAATATGAGAGCTAAAGCAAGAAGGAGATCACTAACCTCGAAGAATTCATCAGTCAAAGGAAAAATTAATCAGAGCACTGCAATTCCTTATATCAACTTCTTGTAGAGATTCAAGAAACTCAAGATACTTAAGAGACTTCATATTGCCTATTGCGCTGCTGCTGTATTGGATCAGATGTTGGAGAGTTAATTGTGAGTGTTATATTAACCCTTGGATATACATCTCTCTGGGTGTGTGCAGAATCATCATCAGGGCGGAATATGATGATCTTATTTGGGTTCACAGGAAAGAAGCAAACCTCACCCTCTTCTTCATAAACTATACATGTTTCAATTCTCAAATTCTCTTCAGCTCCTTGCTCCAGCGGTGAATAAAACTCTACAACCATCTTTACTTCTTCCACTTTATTGGCTTCTATAAAATCATCATATACTCTCCACTCCAACACCTTATTCCTTCTTGTGTTGACCACATGCTCAAATAACTCCTCTGTGGTTTTGTATGTTAAACAACACATACAACTAAACAAACATGAAATCCTCACAACTATAAGTATCCATGTTTTCGACGGAAACAATGGCAATGGGTAATTTGATGATGAACATCCAACTACCACTTCTGGCACCATGTCTTCTAAAACAAACATTCTAAACCCGTGAAGATTTGGGTTTTGTAAAAATGCCTGCGTGGGTATATATATTAAGAAAGAAATTAATTAATAAATGCATGAGAAGCATTAGCATGAAAGTGTTAGATCGAGCTGAGGCATGCAGTTTCAGAGATAGATCAGATAAGATCACTAACCTTGAACAACTTCGCACCACAAGAATTACTTGCTAGAGTGCTACAATATAACATGCTGATTGAACGTAAATTAACACAATTCTCTATGCCTTGAACTTCAACCAAATTTCTGCAGTTATGAATCCCCAAATGGTTTAAACTTGAGTAAGGCAGATCTTGAATCACTCGAAGGTTCTGGCAGTTATACAAACAGAGACGTCGTAGTTGAGAAAAAAGAGAAAGGTTAAAGGGCAGGGTATCCAAGTAACTATCACACAGATCTAAACGGCAGAGCTTTTCAAAACTGCATCGAGGCTCAATAATCAAACTTTTGTAGATAGAAAGAGACAACCGATATAGCCCTGATGCATCTTGTATATTCTCCAGCAAGGGACAACGGTATGCAACGAGCCGACCTAGGTTAGGTGGAAGATCTTTAATCAGTTGAAGGTTCTGACACTTGTTCAAAATTAAGTCTTTTAGCTGAGAAAGATGAGAAAGGTTAAAGGGAATGGTAGTGAAGTAACTATTGCTTAGATCTAGAAATGTCAAGAATGATAGACTCCCCATTTGAACATCTAAATGTTGCATAGACTGGTAAGGAGCCTGTAGAGTTTCCAATGAACATAAATTAGCATCTGAAGAAATAGGTACCACACTCCTATACTCATACTCATTGGTACACATGGGCTGCCCTAGTGTCAGATAGTAGAGATATCTCATAGATCCACAAGAAAAAGGCACATGTGATACCAAAGTCCATTTAGCATTAAGCACACATAGTTGCTCTAATTTTCCCAAGTTAGTAGGCAACTTTTTAATCTTGTAGCACCATTCCAGATCAAGACACTTAAGCGACTTCAAGTTGCAAATACTATTGGGGAGCGTTCTAAGATTCTTGCAACAAGTCATATTTAATTCAACAAGGTTTTCTAAATCTCCAATGGATTGTGACAATTCAACCAATTTTGAACAATAAGAGAAGGACAATGTCTTTAGATTCTGTGCTCCAGTAAAATTTGGGGATCCTTTAAGTTGCTTGCAACCATCAAACCTTAAGATCTCCAAGCATCTAAAATGCTGTTAAATCAAAATATAAAAAGTTGTAGTAAGCTTTTCCCAATCATTTTGTCTAAATAAATTATGATAGCTTTTTAAAAAAGATGTAATGTCAAAAAATCTCATATAAACTTCAAACCTGCAACTTAGGTTTAAATTCCTTAATATTGCTGCTTGTTATTTTTAAAATAACAAGCTTCTTCAGGCAAAGATCAGACGATATGTGTCTTAGCGGACAATTATTCCAAAAAAGCAATCTAAGCTCGTTGGATAAGTATTTTAATGGTCCCTTGGCATTCATGGATAAGATTTTGAGTAATCTTAACCTGCTCATTTTAGAGAATACTTTAGTACTCAAATGCACTTCCTTTGGCAAATCAATAATCATTGTTTCAATTGCTTCATTGCCCTAACAAATACAAAAAAAAAAAAAAAAAAAAAAAAAAAAGAAGCAACATAGCGTTAAAACATTCCTAAGTGACACAAGTATAAGCAAAATATAAAACGTAAATTAATGACAAATAAATTATTGAAAAAGTACAAAATGTAATTACTAAGCAAACGATTTGAAAAACATACATACCAAAATAATAAATTAAAGCACATCGAGTGTGTTTTAATTTACCTTGTTGTTCACGAGTACATCCAAAACCTCATCGCATGAAAACAATCTACTTCTTTTTTCAGGGAGCATAAGAGATTCTTGGCGAACAATTTCTCTTCCTATATCTCGAATTAAATCATGCATATAATAATCTTTTCCCCTTAACAAGCATCTATCAATTAAAGTTGTAATTCCACTTTGAGCAAAGAAACCACAAGCATTCAATATCATAACAATCTCTTCTTTGCGGATATATCCACCCTCAAAAAAACAAGCAATATCAAGGAATATTCTTTGAGTATCACCGTCAAGTGCATCATAACTAATTTTGAGAATATTCAAAATATCTTCATGAGGAATCATTCTCAACTTCTTAAAGTCATCTCTCCAGTGTTGAATTGATGATCTTGACCGGAAATGTGAGCCTAGAACAATAAGTGCTAAAGGAAGTCCATTTGCATACCTTACTATCATGTTTGATAGTTCTACAAAAGCCTCCAAAGGATTTGGGTCCATAAAAGTATGCCAACTAAAGAGTTCCAAAGATTCCTTGAAACTTAACATTGTAACATTGTACTTCTCACAATCTTTTCCGAGGCCATTCAACAAATCAACATTTCTAGTCGTAATAAGAATTGTACTACCTGAACCAAACCAATCTCTCTCTCCAACTAATGCCTCTAATTGACTCTTATGTTCTACATCATCAACAACAATGAGAACCTTTTTTAATCCAAGTCTTAATTTGATTAAACTAATTCCTTCATCAACATGGTTAACTTCAAATCTCATTGTTTTGAGAGTTTTACAAAGAAGCTGTTCTTGCAAACATTTTAAACCTGAACTCTCTCCCTTTGAACATTCTGATCTAACATCAAGAAAGCAACTACCTTCAAATGTTTCATAAATTTGGTTAAATATGGCTTTTGCTAAGGTTGTTTTTCCTATCCCGCCCATGCCATAAATCCCTATCATACAAACATCACCATTTGATTTACTTTGTAATAAAGAAAGTATTTCGCTAACCCGAGTATGAATTCCAACAGGATATTTTGCAACATCAAAAAATGTCCGGTTCACCATTTGTAGAACCTTTCCTATAATTTTGTCAATAAAGTTTGATTCATACCTGCAAAATTTGTTGAGTAAATTACTAGCAGATGAATTGTATGCATATAAGGGGAATAGTGGAAGAAGACAACTAAAAAATACTAAGAAAAAGTATTCAATATATATATTTTTTAATATAAGGGGAGATACCCGTCAGCATCATTTTGTAAATCCCAACCAGAAAAATTTGAAACCTTAGTCAAAGCTGTTTTCCATTGGCTAACTTTTTTGGTCCCAAATTGTTGTTGATGTTGAGCTAAGGCGTCACCAAACCCACCGGTTTGTTTGCGCACTTCAGAAGGATCAATATCATAGAATATGGGAAAAACCACCTGATTTGCTTTTTCTTTACATTCCACTATCTTCACAACCTCCTCAAGACACCACCGCGAGGAGGCATAAGTTTTGGAGAACACGATGATAGAAATCATTGACTCTTGAATTGCTTTAATGAGGTCAGTGGAGATGTCCTCTCCTTTATGGAGCTCTTCTGCATCTTTGAAGGCATAAACTCCTACTCGGCGCAACGCTGCAAAGAGATGATCGGTAAAGGACTTTCGAGTGTCTTCACCTCTAAAGCTCAAAAAAACATCGCAGTGCCAGCAGCGCCGAAATAAAGAGGAAGATGAGTGAAGGAGCAGTTGATTAGTTTCAGAAGTGGATTCCATGGTGGAAACACCTGCCGGTAAAGACACAAGCTAAGGAAGGATGGATGGAGATTAAAGCTAATTAACTTAGGATTACTACTGCGTTTGCTGCTTCTAATTCATGTGGAGGCATTTATATTATATATACATCTTCTGTATGAAATGGAAATTGCTATGAATTTTCTTGCATCCATCTTTAATAAAGATGTAGGCCGGGCAGAGCATTAATTAAATAAAACAATAATCTAATTGGTATGAACTATTTAGTAGAGTTAATTTTGTGGGTGTTAGAGTGGCCCCTTTGGGTTTGACAAAACGAAGCAATTGTAATTTGGAAAGGGAATATAATGGAAATTTATATACATGTTGCTTTCGTTTTAGGTGATAATTATGAAGATAGAGTCACCCCAGGCATTTAATAAATCTGTTTCATTTAGAATAGTCAACATTATTGATAAGGTGAGTTTCTTGTATTATATATTTCATGGAAAATGATATATGGAATTTTCTAATTAAATCATTTAAGAATGAATAGAGCCAATCACTGTAAAATCTTGTTCCAAATCTGACTGGAACTTGGAGGTCATGGAAACCTTAATCGGACAGAGGAGATGAAGATCCATTCTTGTGGACAGAGTGTACAGATAGGGGAGGGAAGCTGGGAACTGACCGGACGAGTTGCTGGCGACACAGAATTAGAGCAATGGCTTTGCTTATTGCTTTCACTTCCTTCCTTTCTTACTTCTTCTAACTGTTGCAATCTTTAGACCTGATTTGCTGTGGCCTCCACTGCCTAATGAGAAGCTCCTTCCATCTCCGATTTCCAGATTATCTGATGCCTGAAACGCAGACGAATTTTGCTGTGTAGATTGATTATGCTGCCCACCAACACCAGATTGAAATGGACTGGAGAAGCAAGTGTTGAACAAGACAGAGAGGAAGTGGGAGAAAGGGAAACAGCATGATGCAGAAGCTTCTGCAGTTGCAGATGACTGCACTGCATCCTCCTTAGCCATGCTGTCCTCCATACTTGTTGAGCCATTGTTTCCATTTCTTGGTCCAATGGTGGAAACAGAATTTCCCAATGCAGTCCGGGAATTGGAAGTTGATGATGCTGATCCAAATGCAAAGCCGGGACCTCTTGAGGCTAAAATCATTGGCGCTGGTGCGCCAAAGGTGAACTCGGTTGACAAAGGGGAAGAAGAGCTCAAGGCAGGAGGAGTTGTTGATCCTGCTCCAGCACTAATGGGCAAGATATCTGTGTGGACACTGCAAATTCTACTGGATGAGGAAGCAGTAGAATTTGCACTAAAACTATATACACAGGCAGGGGTTGTGTTGCTGAACATGGAAGCAGCAAAACTGAATGCACCTGGAGTGGCATTGTTGGACGAGGAAACAATCGAGTAGCCACCAAAACTGAATGCATTGGAAGTGACATTGTTGGACAAGGAAGCAATGGAGCCGCCACCAAAACTGAATGCAGTGGGAGTGGTGGTGCTGGAGGAGGAAGTAGTAGAATTGCCACTGAAACTGAAAACACTACGAGTGGCGGTTTTGCTGTACAAGGAAGCAGTAGAACAACCACCAAAACTGAATACACTCTGAGTGGCGTTGCAAGATGAAGAAGCAATAGAATTACCATTAAAACTGTAAACACTGGGAGTGGCACTGCTGGGCGAGGAAGCAATAGAGTTGCCACTGAAACTAGCAGTGGCTTTGCTGCACGAGGAAGCAATACAACTGCCACTAAATACACTGGGAATGGTGATGCTGGGCGAGGAAGCAATAGAATTTCCACTGAAACTAAATACACTGGGAGCGGCGTTGCTGTACAAGGAAGCAGTTGAACTGCCACCGAAACTGAATAGACTGGGAGTGATGATGCTGGACGAGGAAGCAAAAGCATTGCCACTGAAACTGAATACACTCCGAGTAGCATTGTTGTACAAAGAAGCAGTTGAACTGCCACCGAAACTGAAAACACTGGGAATGGTGATGCTGGACGAGGAAGCAAAAGCATTGCCACTGAAACTGAATACACTCCGATTGGCATTGCTAGATGATGAAGCAATAGAGTTGCCAGCCGAGGAAGTTATAGAGTTGCCACTAAAACTGAAGACAGTGGGAATGGCATTGCTGTACAAGGAAGAGGCTGAACTGCCACCAGAAGTGAATTCATTGGGACTGTCATTGCTAGATGAGGAAGCAAAAGAATTACCGCTGAAATTGTAAACTCTGGGAGTGACATTGCTGGGCGAGGAAGCAATAGACTTGCCATTACAACTGAATACACTGGGAGTGGCATTGCTGGACAAGGAAGCAATAGAACTTCCACCAAAACTGAATGCACTGGGAGTTGTGATGCTGGATGAGGAAGTAACAAAACTATCACCAGAACAGAACACGACAGGAGTGGCATTGCTGGATGACGACACAGTCAAATTACCATCAAAACTAACAACCCCAGGACTATCCAAAAATTCAACAGTAGTGGCATTGTTAAATGAAGAAGTGGCCAAACTACCATCAAAACGAGATACACCAGGAGTGGATGAAATGTTGTGATCACCTGTATAACTTGAACAAGAGTATGTGTCTATTTCTGCTGTTGAATCATAGGCACAAGAGTATGTGTCCATTTCCCCTATTGAATCATAGTCTGCGTCTAAATCAGATCCCTGATTAGAGAATGACAATGAATACTTACAGCTTCTAGGCGAAGTGGTGCATTCACTTATGTCATTCGTCTCCAGATTTCTATTCATACGAAAGAAAAACAGATGCCCGTCTTTGTCCTGATATATCCCTAGCTGAATTTTGCACTCGCATGCCAGATTTCTTTCAGGAGTATCAAGAAGCACATCTCGTTCTTCGTCTGATCCCTTTTCAGGAGTATCTGCAACCACTTCCAGTTTGTCTCCAAATTCTATGGAGCCTCTAAAGTGGTGTTTCGGTATGTATATCAACCATATATCACCATCCTCAACTTTCCATCCACCACCCATCGCCCAATATTCAAGCAACTCAACATTTGTAGTTTTGTTATTGATAATTACAGAGTGTGCTCCCTGATCAAAAAACCCAAAGATCATTCCTATGAACTCATGCTCGAAAAGCAATGGCATTCGAAGACCTGTGGATGAAGAACATCCAACTCCTTGGAGAAGGCTGATATTCCATTCTAGAAATTCATTGAGGGTGAGGAATATCTCGATAATATCACCTTCAGAATGAGCCTGCAATATATTTAGGAATATAATACATGACATGTATAGCCATCTAAATATGAGAACTAAAGCAAGAAGAGAGATCACTAACCTTGAAGAATTCATCAGTCAAAGGAAAATTAATCAGAGCACTGCAATTCCTTATATCAACTTCTTGTAGAGATTCAAGAAACTCAAGTCCTTGAAGCTGAACCAAACTTTCACATCCATGAAGATCCAATATGTTGAGTCTTGTTAAGTTTGACAGATCCGGCAGCACTTCCAGTGAGATACAACCATACATAAAGAGTTCTTTTAGCCTAGGAGGGAATTGTTGGACCACTCTAAGATTAGTGCAGTGAATCAATGTGAGAGAGATTAAATTGGAAAGATGAAAAAGGTTAAATGGCAAGACATGACAGTAACTGCTAATTATGTACACATATTCCACTGAGGATAAACCCCCAAAACAGATTGGCGGAAGACCAACTTTGTGCCCATGGTCGTTGTTGACCCGTAGAATCTTCAAGGAACACAAGTCTCCACAAGAAAATGATAGATGGGAAAAAGCATTCACATTTACATCCAGCTCCCTTAGGCGCTCCAATTTTCCCAAGTCAGTCGGCAATTGGATGTCTGAACAGCTCCACATGCTTAGTTTCTCAAGGGCCTTCAACTGGCAAATGCTGTTTGGCAGTTTCCTCAGCTTAGAACAAAACGATAAATCTAACTCCACAAGGCTTTTCAAATCCCCTATTGACTCTGGCATTTCAACCAAATTAGAACAATATGTAAGGGACAACCTCTGTAGAGTTTGTGCTCTGGTGAAGTCTGGGGCTGTTTTCAGTTTTCCGCAACCATCAAGTTTTAAGATCTTCAAACAACTAAAATGCTGTCCAAATCAATAAAAAACTTGCAGTCAGTCTCTTATGTTCCTATCAAAGTAGTACTTTTTATATAATAGTAAACAATGCATCGAACCTGCAAACGAGGTTGAAATTCCTCTATATCGCTACCTTGCAAATCTAAACAAACAAGTTTCTGCAGATGAAAAGTAGATGGTATGTGTCTTAATTGGCAATTTCGCCAAGAAAACAATCTAAGGTCATTGGATAGGTACTTGAAAGATCCTTTTAGTTGCAAATCACCATCAATTTTGAGTATCCTTAATTTAACCATCCTTGAGAACAATTTGGTACTAAAATGCACATTCTTTAACATTTGAGAATGTATAATCATTCCTTCAATTGCTTCGGTTCCCTGACAACAGGAAAAAAAATCATAATAGTAAGTTAGACCTGAATCTTGTAAATACAAGAAAAACTGAGCAAGAACGAATTGAACCTTGTTTTCTTGAAGAACTTGAGAGACGTCATCAGGTAAAAACAATCGACTTCTTTTCCCAACATCTCTGGGCGATTCCATTCGAACAACTTCTCTTCCCATGTCTCGAATTAAATCGTGCATCTGAAGCTCACCATCTTTACAAACTGTTAACAAGCTTCTATCAACCAAAGTTTGAATTCCACTTTCAGCGTAGAAACCACAACCATTCAATATGGGAACAACATCTTGTATGTCAGATCCAATGAAAAAACATGCAATATCTAGAAAGATATTGTGAGTGTCATCATCAAGTGAATCATAGCTTATTCTAAGAATTTTCTGAACATCGCCATGGGGGATTTGTCTTAATTTCTCGAAGTCATATATCCATTCTTGTTTTGATCTTCCACGGAAGTGCGAGCCTAAAACCACAAGTGCTAACGGAAGGCCTGCAGCATAATTTACAATTCCTTCTGATAGCACATTGTAGCCTTTCGCGGGTGGAAAACAACCAAAAGCATGCCAACTAAAGAGCTGCAGAGATTCATTTGAGCTTAACCTTTGCATCTCATACTTCTCATCCGTTCTAAGGTCACTCAACAAATGAGCATCTCTAGTTGTTATGATGACTCTACTGCTTGAACCAAACCAGTCCCTTTCTCCTGCAAGCGATTCCAATTGACTTATATGGTCTACATCATCAAGAACAACAAGAACCCTTTTTGATCCCAGCCTCGCTTTTATCAAACTAATTCCTTCATCCACATTGTCAACTTGAAATTTCTTTTTCCTGAGAGTTTTGCAAAGAAGTTTCTTCTGTAAATGAGTTAGACCAACATGTTTCTCCGAGGCTTCTGATCTAACATTTGCAAGGAAGCAACTACCCTCAAACATTTGAAATGTTTGGTTGTATACAGATTTAGCAAGGGTAGTTTTCCCTATACCTCCCATGCCATAAATTCCAATCATTCGAACCTCATCATTCGTTCCCAGTTGCAAGACTGAAAGTAGTTCTTTGGCTCGGATATCAATCCCAACCGGGTGTTTTGCAACATTCATGTATGTACAGTTTACCTCCAATAACACTTCTCCAATTATTTTATCAATAAACTTTGATTCATACCTGAAAATTTTTATTGCAGAGAAGTATTAGACCACACTGGCAAATTAAGTGTAAGGAAAACAGGCAAATGCACTGTAAATTTAAATTCTTGGATCCCAATTCCACTGTTCTAAGAACCATTATAAATTTACTCTGGCAATAAGAAAACGGCATACCCATCTGCAACATTCTGCAAATCGCAACCTGAGAAATTTGCAACCTTAGTGAGTGCAGCTTTCCACTCATTAACTTTTTCATTGGTAAATCGTTGTCTTTGTTGAGTCAACGCATCACCAAATCCACCCGTTTGTTTGCGGACCTCGGAAGGATGGACATGGTAGAATACAGGAAGAACCACTTGCTTTAGCCTCTCTTTGCATTCCAAGATCTTCACCAGCTCTTCAAGGCACCATCTGGAGGAAGGGTAGGTTTCGGAGAATACGATGATGGAAATCCTGGACTGCTCAATGGCTTTCAAGAGCTCAACAGAGATGTCCTCTCCTTTCCGGAGCTCTTCCGAGTCTCTGAACGCGTTAACTCCAACCCGGCACAACGCGGAGTAGAGGTGATCCACAAAGGACCTTCGCGTGTCTTCACCTCTAAAACTCAAGAAAACATCATATGACCAGCGAGGAAGTGAAGAAGATGTTGCGGTGTCAGCCATGGGTGAGATGAAGAAGCTGATGAGGCAAGTTGGTTGGTTACTAGTGGTTTTCTGCAGAACTGGGCTTTCATGCTCTTTGTAAAGTTGCCATTTTTTTGTAACGCAGCGGAGAATTCAAAGAAAAACACCCATTCACTGATTCTTTCCAATGGGGTGCTGCACAATGGTTGAAATTTTGTCTGATTGTGGAATTTGGATGGAAGGAAGCTTAAACAATTATTAACTCCCATAAAGTCAATTCATACATCATCGTAAGAAATTTCTTATTAATAAAAAAATCCATGCAATGATTAGCTAGCCACCCAAACAAAGACTTTTTCAAAACCTTCAAAATGCAAAAACTGGGTTCATTAGAATTTTTATTGGGTTCAGAAATACCATCTTTGTAGTTTGTTCAATCCAACTCCAAGCTTAAAACAGCGAAAAAGCTCCAAATTGAAAATCCACTCTCTTTGCATCGCCTTGGCAAACTACTGTGCTCTGTATCAATGTCTGAATCAGGGATAGCTTCAGTTGAGATGACATGAACAAAGTATCAGTTGAGATGAAGAAGTCCGGTTGCTTACCAGTAATTATCCGGCAGTTGGGCGATTGTTGAAAAGAATCAAACTTTAGCAGTTTTCACGCGATGAGTACCATCCCAGGTTGCTTACAAATGGATATCGAGAGAGTGATAACAAGTAATCAGAATGGAACGAATGCTCCACTCATTCGGTCACCCTTTTTAGGGCAAATTGGGTTAGATCGAAAGAAATGAAAGTGTTGGTTTAACTCAAGTATAAAATTATTCATGTACAAGCATTTATAGAGCAAACCTGATGGCACAACATTACCATACAAAACAATGTGCACAAGCCAACAAGACTATATATAGAAGAGATTAAAACTGCTGCACAAGCCTTAAAACAGTTAATCAATTGAGCTAATTATGTGTCAGTCAGAAAAACCAAGACATCGAAATAAAGGGTGCAGACATACAGCATCCCAAATGCAAGTCCCTTCATTCTGCTGCTCTCTTTCCATGCCTGTAATTTCATCGTCAGTAGATTGAGGGTGGAATTTTATCACCACATTTGGGTTCATAGGAATGAAGTATACCTCACCCTCTTCTTCATATACTATACATGTTTGAAGAATGCTTCTATCTTTCCATTTTTCCTCAGACGATGAATGCAACTCTATAAGCTCCTCTACTTCTTCGAATTTATTGGGTTCTGTAAAAAGATTATATACTGTGCATCGAACCTCCATATCATCATCTGGATATATCAACTCTGTTCCAATCATTTTGTAATCCAAAAATTGCTGCCGAAAGAAACATAAAATCTCCACAACAATAAATATCCCTTTTTTCTTCAAAAACAATGCCAAACTGTAATTCGATGAACATCCAGCTACTTCATTATTGCTGCACAAGTATTTTGAAACCATGTCTTTTGAAACACTCATTTTAAGCCATTCACGACAGTTCGAGTTTTGCAAAAGTGCCTGCGTATATTAAAAATGACAAACATTACCAGCTGCAATAAGAAAACATTAGAGGCAGTTTCAGAGAGAGAGAGAGAGAGAGAGAGATCACTAACCTTACACAAGTTCACAAACCAAGATTTACTGCTCAGAGTGCTACAATTTCTAATGTCAATTTCTCTTAACTCAACGAGATTCTCAAGGCCTTGAAGCTCAATCAAATTGCTGCAGTTATAAAAATACAAATAATGTAGCCCTATTAAGCCAGATAGGTCTTGTATGTCTTCCAGCAAGGGGCAATCATCTAACAAGAGATCCTTTAAGCTAGGTGGAAGATCTCGTACGCTTTCTAGCAAGGGACAATTTACTGCAAAGAGATTCTCCAGGCAAGGTGGAAGATCTTTAATCACTTGAAGGTTCAGACAGTTGTCCAAGCGGAGTACTTGTAGCTGGGCAAGATGACAAAGGTTTAAGGGCAAGGAATGGAAACAACTATACCTTAGATCTAAATCTTTCAATAAGGATAAATTCCCATGACCAGTTTGAAGATCTAAATTTGCCAATAAGGATAAATGCTGCAAAGATTGGTAAGGAGCCCTTAGAGTTTCCAAGGAACATAAATTAGCACATGAAGATGTCAAATGCCCAATAGGTTTCACACTCCTATACCCTTCCAACAATGGTGGTAGTAGCAGAGTTTTGAGATATCTCAAAGATCTGCAAGAAAAAGGTAGATGTGACACCGAAGTATCAATTGCATTAAGCAGACCTAATTGCTCCAATTTTCCCAAGTTAGCAGGCAATTCTTTTATCTTGTAGCATCCTCGCAGATTAAGATCCTGAAGAGATTTCAACTTACAAATGCTATTAGGAAGCGCCCTGAGATTCTTGCAAGCACCCAAATCTAACTGGACAAGGTTTTTTAAATCCTCAATTGATTGTGGCAATTCAACCAACTTTGAACAACCCCACAGGGAGGGTTTCTTTAGACTATGTGCTCCACCAAAGTTGGGAGCTCTTTTAAGTTTCTTGCAAAGAGCAAGCACTAAGACCTCCAAGCATGTAAAACGCTGTTGAAATCAAAATATAAAAAGCAGAGGTCAGCTTTTCCTTATCTTTTAGTGTAATTAAATTGTGATACCTTCTGTTTTTTTTTTTTTTTTTTTTTAAAAAAAAAAAGGTAATGTCAAAAGAAATAACATATAAATTTCAAACCTGCAAATTAGGTTGGAATTCCTCGATATTGTCTCCTTGTATTTCTAAAATAACAAGTTTTCCCAAGCAAAGATCAGAGGATATGCATCTCAAAGGGCAATTTTTCCAATAAAGCAACCTGAGTTCATTGGACAAGTATTTTAAAGATCCCCTAACATTCATGGACAAGATTTTGAGTAATCTTAATCTGGTCATTTTAGAGAATACCTTAGTATTCAAATTCACATTCTTTTGCAAATATATGATCATTGTTTCAATTGCTTCGGTACCCTGACATATAAAATAATTTCACATCATTAATACATTACTAAATGACACAAATATAATGTAAATGTCCAGGTCAAGTAATATGTCCCTAATTTGGAAATATAAATAACAAATAAATAATTGAAAAACTATAAAATGTAATTAACTAAAAAAACAACAACTAGAAACAAGCATTTACCTTGTCACCCTTGAGAACATCAAAGACATCATCAGCTAAAGTCAATCTGCTTCTTTTTTCAGGCTGTGTAGGCACTTCTTTGCGAACAACTTCTCTTCCCATATCTCGGACTAAGTCATGCATAGAGAGATCTTCTGCTAAAAAGCACATATCAATTAAAGTTCTAATTCCACTTTGAGCATAGAAATTACAACGATTCAACACCATAATAATGTATTCTTTATAGAATCCACCTATAAAAAAGCATGCAATATCTAAGAAGATTCTTTGAGTATCATCGTCAAGTGCATCATAACTAATTTTGAGAATCTTCAAAATATCATTATGAGGAATCCTTCTTAACTTCTCAAAGTCATTGCTCCATTCTTGAACGGACGATCTTGCTCGAAAATGTGAGCCTAGAACAGTAAGTGCCAAAGGAAGTCCACCAGCATAACTTACTATCATGTTTGATAGTTTTATAAAATGCTCCAAAGGATTTGGGTTCTTAAAAGCATGCCAACTAAAGAGTTGCAAAGATTCCTCGTGACTTAACATTGCAACATTATACTTCTCACAATCTTTTCTGAGGCCATTCAGTAAATTGACATTTCTAGTGGTAATAATAATTGCACTGCCAGAACCAAACCAATTTCGGTCCCCGACTAATGAGTCTAATTGAGTCTCATGGTCTACATCATCAACAACAATGAGAACCTTTTTTGATCCAAGTCTTTCTTTGATCAAACTAATTCCTTCATCAACATGATCAACTTTCAACCTCTTTCTATTGAGAATTTTACAAAGAAGTTGCTCTTGTAATCTTTTTAAACATACATGACCTTCATTTACATATTCTTTTCCAACATCTCCAAGAAAGCAACTACCATCAAATGTTCTATAGATTTGGTTAAATACGGCTTTTGCTAGGGTTGTTTTTCCTACCCCACCCAGGCCATAAATCCCAATCATACCAACATCATCATTTGCTTCACTTTGCAAGAAAGAAAGTATGTTTCTAATACGAGCATGAATTCCAACAGGATATTTGGCAACATTCAAGTATGTACGGTTCACCACTTGTATAACATTTTCTACAATTTTATAGATAAATTTTGATTCATACCTGTAAATTAAAGCAAATTATTAGCCAAAGAATTGTATGCACATGAGAGGAATAAATGACAAAGAAAACAAGAAAAGACTAACAAAAAGTATGTAGTAAAATTATTATTATTTTTAATGAAAATGGAGTAATTAGAGGTACCCGTCAGCATAGTTCTGTAAGTTCCACCCAGAAAAATCCGCAACCTTAGTGAGAGCTGTTTTCCATTGGCTAACTTTTTCGGGCTTGAATCGTTGTTGATGTTGAGAGAATGCATCAGCAAAGCCACCTGTTTGTTTTCGGACCTCAGAAGGATCAACATCATAAAATATGGGAAAAACTACCTGATTTCCCTTTTCTTTACACTCCACTATCTTTGCAACCTCCTCAAGACACCACCGGGAAGAGGCAAAAGTTTTGGAAAACACGATAATGGAAATCTTTGATTCTGGAATAGCTTTGATGAGGTCAGTAGAGATGTCTTCTCCTTTACGGAGCTCTTCTGCATCTCTGAAAGTGTGAACTCCAGCTCGGCACAACGCCGCATAGAGATGATCTGTAAAAGACTTTCGTGTGTCTTCACCTCTAAAGCTCAAAAAGACATCATAGTAGTGCCTGCGCGGAAGTGAAGAGGAAGACGAGGGAAGGAGCAGTTGATTAGTTTCAGAAGTGGATTCCATGATGGTGGTGGTGGAAACATCTGAATTGAAGGTTAAGAAAAGGAAGGAAGGAAGCAGAGGTTGCTTAATTTAGGGTTACTACATACTGGCATACTGCGTCTCTTGGAGATATATACATCTTCATATCTTGTGTAAGAAATGGAAATTGGTATGAAGTTTCTCGGATAAACAGCAGCAGCTAAGTGTCCGGTGAATGTAAATTGCTCTGAAGTAAATAATTTAATAGGAAAAATGATCAAATAAGTCATTTAACTACATACAACAATTATGGAAGGATTCAATTTCTGTTGAGATTTTATACACACATCCTCAGTTTATCTCGTTTCAGGTTATCGAGAATGGGTCATCACCCTGGCTTATGTCTGCGGTATATGGAAGTCCCAACCCGGCCTTAAGAAGGAGGCTGTTCATGGATTTGTCAGGTCAATACTTTGTGCCCCACGGACCGTGGCTTGCTGTTGGGGACTTCAATTCCGTCACCGAGCAAAATGAAGTTAGCAACCCGGACTCTTTCTCCTACTCCAGATGTACAGCTTTCAATAACTGGATTTACAGGGAAGGCTTGGTAGATCTTGGCTACTCAGGCTCGACCTTTACTTGGATGAGAGGAGCAGACACTTCTTCTTTCAAAGGAGCTCGCTTGGACCGTGCCTTAAGTAACGACGAATGGAGACTTCGATTCCCTGATGCTATTGTTTCCCACCTCCCCATGATCGGATCGGATCACTCACCGCTACTTATTTCCACATCCGAACTTGCCCACCAGGCTGCCATCAACAGATTTAAGTTCAATATGGCATGGACAACGCATAGCACCTTCCAGGCCTGTGTACAATCAACTTGGAAAGATGATTTAGAAATCAACACAAACTTAGCAGCGATGGCCCAGGTCCTTACTATATGGAATAGATCCACTTTCGGCAATGTATTCCGGAGGAAGCAACAATTGTTAGCAAGGTTAGATGGTATACAACGAAGACTTTCATCATCATCAAGGTCCGATCTTATCAGATTGAATCGTAGACTACGCAAGGAGCTCGAAGAAACTCTTTACCAAGAAGAACTATTGTGGTTCCAAAAGTCAAGGGAGGAGTGGATCAAATCTGGGGATCGGAACACTCGATTCTACCAATTGGCAACCTCAATCCAGAAAAACCAATCCAAAATAGTCTGTTTAAAGGAGGAGGATGGTACAATATTATCTGACTTGAATCTTATCAGGAATCACGTCCGGGATTACTTCATGAATTTATTCACTGCTAATAACAGAGCCATCACCCACGAGTTACAACATGGTTTCTTCCCACCCCTTACTTCTGAGGATTGGAATCCAGTATATGCCCTCATCACCTTGGATGAAATCAAAGCAGCTTTGTTTGAGATGGCACCTTGTAAGGCACCGGGTCCCGATGGATTCTCAGCTGGCTTCTATCAAAAGGCTTGGATTACTGTTGGCAAGTCTCTCCATCAGTTTGTTAGGAAGTTTTTTGAAACTGGTTCCCTTCCTCCCGGTTGCAACGACACATTTATTTCTCTTATCCCGAAGGTTCATAAACCGGAAAACATAAAACAGTTCCGACCCATTGGGCTTTGTAATGTGGTCTACAAACTGATCACCAAGATTATGTCGGAACGCCTCAAAGCTGTCTCTAAGAAACTCGTAGGTCCCCAACAATCAAGTTTTATACAGGGCCGGCAGATCACAGATAACACGCTAGCATATCAGGAATTGCTGCACTCCTTAGCCAACAAAAAAGGAAGATCGGGATGGATGGTTCTCAAAGTTGATCTCGAGAAGGCTTATGACAAGCTCTCTTGGGACTTTATAAAAGACACCCTGCTAGATATTGGACTAAATCAGACATGGGTCAGGAACATTTTGCACTGCGTCTCAACGTCACGACTAGCGGTTTTTTGGAACGGTCACCAAACTGATTGGTTTTCCCCGGGAAGGGGAATTAGACAGGGAGATCCAATTTCCCCTCTTTTATTTGTTTTATGTATTGAGCGTTTAAGCCATTTAATTGTAAACTCTGCCAATTGTGGTCAATGGAAAGGTGTGAAGATATCTCATGATGCTCCTAATATGACACATCTATTTTTTGCAGATGACTTAGTACTTTTCGGGGAGGCTACCATCAATCAGGCGCTGGAGATGAAGAGATGCTTAGATTCCTTCTGTTCGAGTTCTGGCCAGAGCATCAGTTTGCACAAATCCTCTTTGTTCTTCTCAAAGAACACAGATCCTATAATTCAGCAAAGCATAGAAGCATCCCTGGGCATTCCTAAAGTCTTGGACCTAGGCAGACACTTGGGCCTGCCTTCAATTCATGGCAGGATAAATAAGGAATCCTTCAGTAGCATGCTTGACAGAATTCAATCAAGACTCACAGGTTGGAAATCCAAGTCTCTCTCGCTTGCCGGTCGTCATATATTGGCCCAATCAGTCCTATCGGCCATCCCATATTATACTATGCAGTTGACTCTACTACCAGCAGGAGTGATCGAGGCCATCGAGAAGCGCATCCGAGGCTTCATTTGGGGCAACAAGGAAGGAGAAAAAAGATGTCATTTGATTAAATGGGATGTGGTGACCAACAGCAAAACCAATGGTGGTTTGGGTATTAAAAGCCTCAAGTATATGAACCTAGCTTTTCTTGCCAAGCTTGCGTGGAGATTATTTAAAGAGGAAGATTGCCTTTGGGTAAAAATCCTAAGAGCCAAATACAAAGTCGTTCCTGCTGATTTTTCCACTTGGCAACCAAGACGCAGCAGTTCCAATATTTGGAAAGGGATTCTCAAAGCTCTACCAATCCTGCAAGGTGGAATTAAATGGCATGTAGGCAATGGCAGGACCATTCGCTTTTGGTTAGACGTATGGATGGAAGAATTCCCTCTACTTGGTGCTGTTTCTGAACAGATTGCCCCCTCTATCCTAAACAATTCTGTGGCGAATTATTGGAATCCGGGTGAGGGCTGGAAATGGGACTTGTTGGACTGCCTTCTCCCAGCCAATATATTGAGTAGACTTGCCACCATTGTTCTCATTGAAGATCCGCACGTCAACGATAAATCTGTTTGGAGCAAAGAGGCAAATGGACAGTTTTCGATAAGCACAGCATATGAGTCTGCAATGGCCACTCCGGAGTCAGTTGATGCGGCTAAATGGAATAATATTTGGAAACTTAAAGTTCCAAATCGTATATGCACATTTCTTTGGTTGCTAAGACATGATAGAATTATGTCAAACCGGAATCGCAAAAAACGAGGCTTCACGAACGATGAAAACTGCTGGTACTGTAGATCTGTTGTTGAGGATGCTGATCATATACTAAGGTTTTGCCCAGTTGCGGAGGAAGTATGGAAAGCCACGTTGCCCCAGCTGCATGATAGTCTGCGACACCTCCCCCTTGTTGAATGGCTTGATGAAGGCTTGAGGACCAAGGGCCTTGGAAGAAGGCCATGCAGCGATAACCACACTTTTGCAATTATTCTATGGTGGTTGTGGAAATGGCGTAATGAAGCCATTTTCAAAGCTTCGTCTTTACCTCTGAAATCAAAAGTCTTGCTTATTACATCTCAATCAGAGGAAATCAATCGTGCGTTTGCAAGGTCGAAAGGGTCGCAACCCATGGATAATCTAGCATGGAAAATGCTCTGTTGGTCCAGACCCCCTGAGGGTACCCTTAAACTCAACGTTGATGGAGCTGTGGCCAACCACTCACACCTTGCAGGCTGTGGCGGCGTAATTAGGGACTCTTTGGGTGTTTGGAAGATGGGCTTTTTAGTGAAGCTTGGCGTTTGCTCCCCCTTTGAAGCTGAAGCATGGGCAATCCTCAAGGGAATCCAATTCGCCGCTGCCCAAGGAGTAAAAAGAATCCTCATTGAGACTGACTCAAAGGAAGCTGCCGATTTTCTCCACAGTTCTAGACCATCGGCAATGGCGGCACACAATGTCCTTTTGGCCTGTAGGCGGGAACTCCAGCATTTCGACTTCTGGCAGCTTACATCTATATTCAGGGAACAAAATTGCGTAGCAGACGCTCTGGCTAAAATGGCATTAAATCATGATTTCGGACTCCTCTCTCTGACCGACCCCCCGGATGAAATCAGCAACATCCTGGAAAATGATATGTTAGGCTATCCTTCTTGGAGAAATGTATATGTCTCGGTGTAAACCTTACTCGTGTTTGCTTGGGTCTCCCCCTTCTTAATGATAAAAAAAACTACATACAACAATGTAATTATCTTATTGAATTAAAAAAAATAATGCAATTAGGTCACTAAATAATTCAAAATGATATAATTAAGCCAAAAATGTCCTGTTGACCTGTTAGTTTGTTAATGTGGAGATTATCATATTAAAATAATTATTTTTTATTTTATTTAAATAATTTTAAATAACAAATTAAAAAAAAAAAAAGGATCTCAATTTCGTCTCTAGCCTGAAGACAAAGAGGTCCCTTCGCTGCAGAAGAAGAACTTCTTTGTCTACGGCCAGGGATGAAAGGATATCTTGTAAAGATAAATAAGTGTTTCAAGAAACAAGTTGTCTTGAAATCACATTAATTACTCAAAGAGGAATTTTTAATAAGGCATCCAATGTCATAACAAGACAAATGCAATTATTTATGCACAACTCTCGAGTAACTGCAGCGCAATTCAGGCGCTATATGTTTGGTGAAGTAGTTACGACCCTCGATTAGACCGTGCCGCTCGCTTGCTTCTGACAACCTCTGGTTTGCCTTGACGACCTCTGGTCTACCTTGACCACCTAGGGATCGGCCTTGACCGAGTCAGTCCGCCTCTTCCAGGATCATTTTTCCGCTTCCCTTTAGATCAATTTGCTTCTGCCCGATTCCATTCTAAATATATCCATCAATGATGTTGGCATAACCTAACAAATTGATTGGGAATTAGTACATATAGGAAGTTTCGTGGTGAATGCTAGAAAAAGG